TCCAGCACAGAGCTTTCGCGACTTGTCATGTTGGGGATACACTTTTTACAGTCCCAGTCAGCACAAGGAAGAAGGCAAATGAAAGCAGATCAATATATACCGCTGTAAGGAAAAGACAAGCACTGTTCTTTGGTCATGTCTTCTTCTTCTTTATTCACCGGCTGTAAATTCTGGCTGGAATCATTCACTGCAGAACCCGAGGTAGACCAAGAAAAAAATGGAAAGATAACATCAGAGAAACTCCACTACAGCAGAATGTGCCTATGGTCAAGGCATCTAAAAGAGAAAGGACCAGAACCTGAAATCTTCCTCAACACCCAAGCAGGAAAAAAAGAAGTGAAAAAGAAAATATACTTTTAAGATAAAATTAATTTCACAACATGGTAATTCAGTTTACTAGCAAACCAGAGGTCAAACTAGCCTTTTCTAAAAGATACAGACACACAAATAAATGGTTTAACGCTTTACATTCACAAGACACACTTTGTAAAACTGTAGTTCTGTCGCCAAACTACTGAGCTGAGTGCATGGTGTGACACTGTGAGCTACAGATTTCATTTGGAATGCTTTCTGACTGTGCCCAGCATGGCTAGGTTGTGAACTGCAGATTCAGAAAATGGCAAGTGACCTGTTGCTTCAGAATTGGTGATGCCTTATGCGTTTACAACTACTTGCTGCTTATATTAACAATGAACTCAACAGTTCTAGAGCTGGACTGTCTGTGTTGGCACTTCTAATGGCTCTCCTATTTATTTTCATGTGTATGTATGCTACTGCTGTTGCTGAGACTGCAGTCTGTGTTAGTTTTTCACAAGGGACAGTGATGGACATTCTGTGTGGTTTTCGTAGACACAAGAATGGAGCAACTATGGGCTGACTAGAATTGCGATCACCTGAGTTTGTGACGCTCTGCTCTAGCCATTGCATTAACAGCAGCTTCTGCGCCATTAAGCACAACCGCTGTAACACCAAGCTTGTAGTGTCATGAATGAAATTTGTACTGAAATGGCTTCATAAATTTTTGTTAACACACAGAGAAAACCTTAAACAATTAATTTTCCCAATTTATTGTCTTTCAAAAAACATGTATCATTCATTCACATACAAGTACCTTCTTTAAGTGTTGCATTTTTTCCTCTTCCACCCTGGGGCACAGAGGTACTTTTACATTCTTTTCTCCTCTACCTTGATATATAGAGGTACTTTTACAGTCTTCCTCCTTCTACCTTGAAATATAGAGGTACTTCTAGTCTTCCCTCTCCCACCTTGAGATATAGAGGTACTTCTAGTCTTTCCTCTCCCACCTTGAGATATAGAGGTACTTCTACAGTCTTTCCTCTCCCACCTTGAGATATAGAGGTACTTCTACAGTCTTTCCTCTCCCACCTTGATATATAGAGGTACTTCTACAGTCTTTCCTCTCCCACCTTGATATATAGAGGTATTTTTTCAGTCTTTCCTCTCCCACCTTGAGATATAGAGGTACTTTTACAGTCTCCCTCCTTCTACCTTGAGATTTAGAGGTACTTCTACAGTCTTCCCTCTCCCACCTTGAAATATAGAGGTACTTCTACAGTCTTCCCTCTCCCACCTTGAGATATAGAAGTACTTTTACATCTTCCCCAGTTCTACCTTGAGATATACAGGTTCTTTAGTTTTTCCTTTTTGGGATATAGAGGCTCTTCAGTCTTTCCTCTTCTGAATAAGGATATAAAGATGTCTTTCCTCTTTTAGCTTGGGATATGGAAGTACTTTTCAGTCTTTCCTTTTCTAGTGTGTGGTACATAAGTACTTTGGTCTTTTCTCTTCTAGCTTGGGTACAGAGCTACCTTTGGATATACAGCACAGTATTATTTAGCTGTTCCTTTTCTAACCTGGGGTATGGAGAAACCGCACAGTCTTATTTAATCTTTCCTCTTCCACCCTGGCAAGAAAAGCCACCCTACCCCCAGGTAGTGAAGCGCATAAAGCATATGTACACAACAAAAAAGTAAAGGACCCTTTCCTAACCTCTTGGAGAACAGTGGACATATGGTGCTACTCTTACAGCTTTACAGACCAACTGACACTTGAGGGGTGATGTGGGCAATACTATGCCAGCTGCCTTTATTTCTCAGAACACTTCCCAGTACCTATTTAAGGCAGGACAGTTCTTAATCCTTTGGGCCCGGTGACCCATGATAAACAATGCCAATGATTTGTAAATAGAGGATCCCCCCCCCCCCCCCCCACCTAAAAAAAAAAAAAAAAACTACTGTACACACAGGTGACACAAAGAAAATCATGACAACTCAATTTATCGACAAAAATAATATTACATTTCACGCAGAATATGGGGAGTCAGCATTAAACATGAATGCAGCAGAGACATAACTGGTTCAAGTCTTGGTGAGTCTAAAAATAAATCTTTATGGTGGCTCTTTATTTTGTTTTTTTGATCCCACGACTTGGTCGCATGTTAACACAGTGACCAACAGGAAAATTGTTACATTCTAGTTTCTATTAATAGAGCCATTTTTCACAGGAAAACCCCTCTGATATTGTTAGTACATGTCGTCGCTCTCTGTCCTAGTAAACGGGTGTGTATGCACAAACAAAAAACAGTGCTATTAACTAGGCGTTCCATGAACAAGCCACTATAGTCAAGTCGGGAAAGTGACTTTTATGGGGCCATGGTACCAACCGGAAGTGGTGGTTTGCGGGTTCTCGGGGTAACAGGGTTAAAAAAAGATTCACATCTTATCCAAGTCCATGCCGTGTGCATTGGTTGTCTTTCCACAGCCTTCTGTTCCCTGTACTGCTGATAATTTGTCATACTTATTTTCCAATTTAAGTGATGCCAAACTATGTAAAATTTATATTTTGTCATACTTATTTCCCAAATCAAGTGATGTCAAACTATGTAACATCTCTCTTCTATCCCTCTGCATTTCTTTGCCTTCACTTTTCCTGTTAATGGAATGTACCCCAATTCTCCCATTCTCATGACATTCCTACAAAATGTAGCCTAGGGGTTCGTAGCGAAAGCCAATAGAAAATCTTTAGTGCAAGACAGCTTAGCATACGACATCACAACATCTAGCATGAGAATGGAGGTAGAGGTGGTAACTGCAGGTCTCCGGTGGCTAGAGAACAAGATGCATACACCTGTCATAATTGCAACAGACTCTGAAAGCATGCTGAGAAAGGTGAAGACAGGGATGCTTTGAGCAGAGTGGCAAGCTTCACTGGAAAGGTTACAGGTAGTGAGCATACTTTGGATCTTTTCTCCAGGCCATGCTGGTGTATTGGGTAATAAACAGACAGACAGACTGGCTGGATCTGCACCACTGGGTGGTGAACTGATATATGACAAGGCAAATGTGGTCAAGGCCCTTTGGGAACAAGCAATGTAATCAGTAGAGAAACAAGATTATTATGGCCTGGAGAGAATGAGGCACCTGGGTGTAACCAGAGGGTCTGGCCGGCTCACTACTCTCAGAGGAACGGCAAGACGAACATATAACCAGATTGTGACTGGTAGCATCAGTACTGGAAGTCTGCACAGGCTGCTGAAGATGAGGACAGAGCACACATGGGAATTCCCCGAGTGCTGTGTTGTCAATTCTTGACTCAACTCCTAAAAATGTAATTGTATTTTTATTTTTTTTAAACAAACTCTAATGAAGTTTGGTTTGTCTGGTATAGTTTTTTCAAATGATGTGTCAATCAACTGCAAAATCTTAAATAGAAATCTCCATTTCAGTATGTTCACACATTTATTTCACAACATTCACTGGACACATGTACACAACTAAGAATAAGAAAATGGGTTCTTTATTAATATCCTACCCCAAACAGGGGAAATCCACAGGTCATGGGACAGTCTAATATTTCAGTGGGTGGTGGATAGGCTGCATGTAGTCATGGGTCCTAGACTGCACTCTCGTGGGACGTAGGTGTGTTGGAGTTAGAGCCAGTTCTAGAAGTTTTGGGGTCCCAAAAAAAAGCATCAGCAAGTCTTACCACCCTCTAAAATGCTGGACTGTCCTGTGATGTCATCTGGGGGGTAGGATATTAATAAAGCACCAGAAACTGCTATGAATAAACTAAATACCATCATCATGTGCCAACAGTCAAGCTGCCCACTGCCCTGTGATGGTGTACAGGGTGTCCCAAGTATAGGAAAGACAGTGTTCTTCAACTTCTGGGCAGCAACCCACCAGCTGGGCCTCCTAACATTTCTGCCTAATCCTGTAACTAGGTAGTGTAGGTAGTTTTTCTCTTTGAGAATTCCACTCTGTAAGATTAATACCTCAAGGATAAGAATCAAACCAGTGTGAATCCCAAAAATACATTTAACCGCAGAAAACAGGTGGGTGGGCCATGGATTTAAAAAGGTTGTATAACACTGTCCTACATCTCAGCTATACATTCTGGCGTGCAGAGGTCTAGCAAGTGGCCCCCTGGTCTCTGGGTTTAAGGACCAGATGCCTGTGTGTATCGCTGCGCACATAAAAAATCCCTTGGCAGCTGGAAATCGAAAAAAGCAGCCTAACGGCACCGCACAGGCAAAATTTAGAGTTACAAATCTACCCAAAGTATTTCAGGATCCTCGCCGATGCTACAGAGTTCAAGTTTACGCTGGGATTATTCAGACTCAGGTTTGAGTCAGAAGTAGAACAGAGCACTTATGGGTTACCATCCTTGTTCCATGATGTTGATATGTAATTAAAACAAAAACTGACCTCTGGCCCCGTGACGATCCCCACTTTCAATACTTTGGCCCCTCTGTGAACTTAGTTAAATAGTTAAATAGCCTTGCTCTTTATGATTACAGTTGTTTTGAAAACACTGATATCTGTCCTCCAATCCTGATGAACACGTATGAGTACAGTTGGAGTTATACAGAGATATGTTGTTTTACCTACATGGGAACACTTTTGGGACACCATGTACACAGTTAATCATTTTACAAGAAAAAAAAAAAAAAACTTCTCCTCCTAGCCCCAACCTTCAGATCACTTTCGGTTTTTAGACTTCAAAGTCTGGCCCTGTCCGGAGAAGGCTTCAAAGTGCTTGGCTTCCTCTTCCTCTGTGTTTCCGTTGGTAACGGGGCGGACGTTGCGGATGAATGTGATGGTTCCACGCTTGAAGTTATAATTTGGGATGCCCCTGCAAGAGATCAGACAATTGTGACTGGCAAAGCATCAATATATTTAGAAACTGACTTTTGATTTAGGTAGTAAAGCAGATATATAGGGAAGTGGGTAGTAAAAATTAGATAGGTAGCAAAGTAGATATGTAGGGAATAATTACAGATAGCAAACTAGATATGTAGGGAATAATTACATAGGTAGCAAAGTAGATATGTAGGGAATAATTACATAGGTAGCAAAGTAGATATGAAGGGAATAGTTAGACAAAGTAGGTATGTAAAGAAGTGGGTAGGGAATAATTAGATAGGTAACAAAGTAGACATGTAGGGAAGTGGGTAGGGAGTAAGTAGATAAGTAACAAAGTAGACATGTAGGGAAGTGGGTAGGGAGTAAGTAGATAAGTAACAAAGTAGACATGTAGGGAAGTGGGTAAGGAGTAAGTAGATAAGTAACAAAGAAGACATGTAGGGAAGTGGGTAGGGAGTAAGTAGATAAGTAACAAAGTAGACATGTAGGGAAGTGGGTAGGGAGTAAGTAGATAAGTAACAAAGTAGACATGTAGGGAAGTGGGTAGGGAGTAAGTAGATAAGTAACAAAGTAGACATGTAGGGAAGTGGGTAAGGAGTAAGTAGATATGTAGGGAAGTGTGAAGGCAGAGAAGTGGTTAGCAAAGCAGATAGGCAAGGAAATAGGCAGGTAGAGGTAGACATGTAGCAAAGAGGACAAGGAAGTAGGCAGATGGAAAAGTAAATACATAGGGAAGTAAGTAAGATGGAAAGTAGGAGATAGGTAAGGAGATACACATGGAAGCATATGTATAGTGACGTAAGCAGGGAGACAGGGATGTTTGCAGGTATGGAATGCATGAACATAGGAAAGTATAAGGTCGCATCCCCCTTTTTAGTATATGGCATGACCCCCACACCCCCTTGATTATTCAAGACCCCCATGCCCCCATTTACAGTAAGACTCCCACACGCCCCCCCCTAAAAAAATGTGATTAAAAAAAGGAGGACAACAGATTCTTCAACAAGGAAAACAGTAATATTGGAGGTTCGTTTTTGTCAGAATGCACATGTTATTAAATCAGTTAAGATTTTTAATGGTAGATGTAGAATGAAAACAAAGGTGTCCTTGTAGTTATGGTTAATAAAGAGTTTCAAAAATCTGTTTAGTTATAACCAAACTAAATAAATTGTAAGTATAATAGATTATTCTTCTTCTTCTCTTCCACCTCATCAAAGTATCGGGGGAAGATGTAACATTCGTTGATGAGCTCTGTCAAGAGCACTATTAAGACTGATGTTTATAGCTGTAAGGCTGTTCTTAATGCCATCACTCTACATTTTCTGAGGTCTTCCACTCGCTCTATACCTGTTGTAATGTTTTAGCAGGGCTCGCTCTGGCAGATAGTAACAGGGCATTCTTGTTAGGTGTCCAAATTATCAAATTATTTCATTTTTTGGTTTTATTCCTAGCATTCGTCTCATTTCGTAATAACAGATTATTACAAATACAAATCCACTCACTTTCACAACTGTTTGACAACCCCCCCCCCCCCCCTCCCCCTCCCCAGATGGAGACCACCTTATTAATGGCAACATGAAAGTTGTGAAAGCTCTGCTCTAAACAGTAATGTGTGTTGTCAATATGAGAAGTCTGGAAAGCCCTTTGAACAGGTTTGGAAAAAGCTCCAACTATAAACTGTTTCTCTAAAAACTGTGCCCCTAACAGGACCGGTTTGGAAAGCTCTACTATAAACTGTTTCTCTAAAAACTGTGCCCCTAACAGGACCAGTTTGGAAAGCTTTGCCCTAAACACAAATGACATTTCTAGAGAATGACCACAATACCTTCTGGCAGGCTCTGTGTTGATGACTGCACTGGAAGAAGATTCTGCACTTCTCCTTTTGCCATCTAACCGGTTTCCCTCTCCTGCAAATGGCTGAAGAAGACGTGATTAAATCAAGTTCATAATGACAGGTTTGTGGAACACAAGACTTATGAGTGATATGCAGGTAAACATGTAGTTAACAAACAAAAAATGGTAAAGGACTCCTTTTTTTTCCCCACCAGTGGTGCCCCAGATGTTGGCTCTGTGGCTAAGTCGATGTGAACGCTTCTTACTGCCGGGATCGATCCCAGCTGGGGGCCATGCGCCTTGCTTTGGTTTCAACAGTGGTATCAAGAAAGCCGACAATCCAGAAAGCAATGGCAAACTACTGGATGTAAAATGAATGAACGCTAGACAGCGGCGCTGTTCGAAACAGAGGCAATTTTTTTGCTTCTGCCGGACGGTGGCCGAAGTATTTTTGCTCCATTTGTAGACTGGATATAGTTTCGTCGCCCAGCTTCTGAGTTGAATGCATGGTGTGACCCTGTGAGCTGCGGATTGCATTTGGAATGTTTTTTTTTCGACTGTGACCAACGTGGTGTGAATTGGAGATTCAGAAAATGGCGCGATGCCGGTCGTCAATGTTGGCGGTGCCCGGATGTGATTACAATTGATCGCGTGGGCAACTGCTGATCTGTTGGCGACAAGTTCTGCTATCATCAATGATGAACTTCATTTCTAGTGTTGGACTGTTTGTGTTAGCACTTCGGATGGCTACCATATGCTTTAATGCGAGTGTTGCTAGATATGCTGAGACAGCAGTCTGTCAATCTTTCCACAAGGGACTGTGATAAACATTCTGAGTGTTTTTTTCGTTGGCACAGGAGCGGAGCAAAGATGGGGCGACCCGTTTGCTATGAAGCTGAAACTAAGACTACCAGACTACCAGACCAGACTGGATGTAAATTTGCCTAGAAAAACCACACAACAGCCAGGTGGCTGTTGGGGTTGGTCCTGCAAAGTCCTGTAAAGGATACGCAACTAACAGGTGCCCCAGATGCTAGTCTCATATTATTAACGAACAATCACAAAGTGCTTAAGAAAGAAAAAATTGAAAATAATAAAACTGTTTTCCTGTGTGACTGCATATCAGTCCTTCTAGGTGACTCAAGGGGATCCATGAGACAACATGGAGACAGAAGTGACCCAACAGCTCAACAGACTCTCAGAAAACAATCAAATAGTTCTCCAGTGGATCCTGGCTCACTGCGGCATATCATTAAATAAGTTAGCTGGCAGGACTTGCGAAAAATGGAACAAAGGAGAAACAACACACCCATTCATTGTCATTACCAGAAATCAAAACACATATCAAGGGAAAATACAAGGAATTGTAGAGGGAACAAACCAACAGTAAACATCCACAAGACCCCATCAGCAGACTCAACTGAAAGCAACACAAGAATTTTCTGTCTATAAACAGGACACTGCAGGCTTAGCTCCCATATGCAAAAAAATAAAAACTGTACAGTCCCCATAGCATGCATGTCAGACAGGACCACAAACACCTGAGCACATTCTGCAGACCTGCCCACTCTACCTGCAACTTGGAAAAAGACACCTGGCCTCAAGTCAAGAGCAAAATGTGTAGAGTAAGCTATGGCATGATTGACCTGCAGCTGACATGCAAGTTTCTAGAGGCGTCCAACCTGATCGTCTGATCTCAGCATACGAAACCAAACGCAAAGAAGATGCAAGAACAAACAGAACTCACTGGGTAATGTGGTCAACATCACACTGGCTACCTTTACTTCCCAGTATCACCTGGTACTCATTTTAGGCTGGGTCGACCTCGGAACCAAGGTCATTTTTTAAAAAGAAAAAAATCCCTGGAAGGTAAACCAGGGCATTAAAAAAAAATGCATTTGTTGGATCTGTCAGCTGAAAGGTGCAAATATTGCAGCCATGGGCACAACACATCTACTACACCTTTGAATAAACGCAGAAGAAAGCAAAATCTGATTTACTGGGGATTTGAACCCAAGACCTTGAACCTAGAAGTAAGTGTTTAGCCAGTACCCCAACATGGCTTCAAAACATTTAGTACTAATTCTCATACCATCATAATCATCTCATTGTGTCATTGATAGATCACACGGGGGCTAGCAGTTGATTCCTCCATTCTGACCTATCCTGTGCAATCCCTTTAAAATTGTGTCTGAAATTCAGTCCCACACTTCAGGTCTCTCTCGTCGATGTTCAGGATTGTTTGAGGACCTCCTTGCTTCCAAAATCCATTTGTTTCCCATTTCAGTGCCTGTTCGGTGACTCTCTGTTTACTTCATCTCAAAATGTCACCATCTTCTGTTTTTTTTTAATTGCTGATATTAGTACTTTCCATTTTCCAGATTTTCTCTGGGAATAATCCTGAGAAAAACAATTATTTTACCAGTAATCACTGTAGACAATGCAGGAAATATGACGCAGGGTCACGGGTCAAGTGCCATGCTATAGGTTTACAGGCCCCAAGAGACATAAACCAGTTAATTCTATGCTGCATTAATTTTCATCGATTACTTCCCTTACTCTGTTTTTTTTTAAGTGTCCAGAAACCATGAGTTGTTAACCCTTGGCTCAGTACTATGGATATTGCAACCCTTCGGCCTTGATTCCATGATAGATACCGTAAATCTGGGAGAAATTTGGTTTTTCTGCCTACCCCCGAGCATGAACCCAGATCACAAGGAGTTCGTCACCCGGTCGCTGAGAAGTCAGCTTTAACCAACTACGCTAACGAGCCGGGCATAGTACTGTTTGTATTTTCAATGATTAGCTGAATTTGTGTGTGTGTGTGTTTTTTTAAAATGGTGATATGTGTCTGGCTTCTTCTTTGACAGTGGATAACCCAAAGCCATGTTGAAAAGGTCCAGTGGCAGGAACCAGACAAAGTAAGACACAACCTTGCCACCCAGCAGGTAGAGTGGCTACAGTCAGAGGCTAGGGATAGCAGACCACTAAAAAATACTTGTGGACACTGGAAAACTCTTGTTATGACAATAATCTAAAATAAGATCAAATTTTCTTTTTCTTTGTCCCACTCTCTGCCTTCCGCTGACTTGAGAATCAGCTGTACACACATGCCATGACTGTAACTGACTCAGCATGCTGGGAAAGGTGGAGACAGGCATTCTCTGTGCAGAGTTGCAAAGCATCGCTTCAGAGGTCTCAAGAAGTTAGCATCTTTTTGATATTTTTCCCAAATCATCCCGGTGTGTTGGGAAATGAGCAGGCAGATAGACTAACCGGCTCTGCACCACTTGTTGTTAACTTTAGTCTTAGTGTTTATCGGCTGTAAACTCTGGTAGAAAATTTCGGGTTTTTCATTTTACAATTTTGTGCGCACATTCGCTTTTACAGATCTGACTTACTAGTGTGCAGACTGTTGGTACCTCACCTATCAGGCAGATGCACTGACTTTGATAGATACCCACCTAATCAGTAGACTTTTACAACCACAGAAGGATAGTTGAAGGGACAGGAACCAGACAGTGAGATACAACCCTGCTACATGGTGGGCAGTCTAAGGAAAGCAAACCTGACAACTAAACAAACCTGACAACAAAGCAAACCTGACAACAAAGCAAACCTGACAACAAAACAAACCTGACAACAAAGCAAACCTGACAACTAAGCAAACCTGACAACTAAGCAAACCTGACAACAAAACAAACCTGACAACAAAACAAACCTGACAACTAAGCAAACCTGACAACTAAGCAAACCTGTGCAAAGGAAAAAAGCGCAAAGCAACTCCTTCTATGATAATCAATCTAAAACAAAATCAAATAATAACCAAAATTATCATACCCTGAAAATCAGCTCATCATCTGGTTCGTCTGTTTCTGTGTTCTGAAAACAGAAACCAAAAATAAAAACCAATAAAAACAATAATTATCACTTTCACTGTTTTATTCTCATCACTCCTAACACAGCTTAAATTTATAACCAACATTGAAAATACAAGCAAATTAAATAGTAAATAAAGCTAAATAATTCAAATTTTTTAAAAAAGAAGAGGAGGATGCTGCATGGTTGGCTGAGCAGTTCAGAAAACTATCCTCTCATTTGAGAGCCCTGAGTCTGAAGTCCCTAAAAGTTGAATTTTTCTGTCAGCAGCAAAAATGAAATCCTAACCTGCGTAGTCCGTGACGACTGCACTAGCCAAGTGGCCACAAACCTATAGCTCTACATGCACCTGTCCTACAGTGTCATTCTTTTACTTACAGTCCATGCTGTGTGGGGATGGTTGTCATGTCTATCCACAACCTTCTGTCTCATGTACTTTCAATCAATTCTGACACATATAATCTTCCATAGTCCATTCCATGTGGCGCTGGTAGTCATGTCTATCGATAACCTCAAGTTTTGTGAACTTTCAATCATATCTTACAAAGATGATAGTACATGCATGATGTCAAACTGTCTTATCTCTCTGTCTCCCTCTGCCTCTTTTCCCTCCAACTTGTCCTCTGTACTGATGTACTCCAGTTTTTCCCTCCAACTTTCCCACCGTCCTGATGTACTCGTTTTCCTCTCCACCTTTCCCACTGTCCTAATGTACTCCAGTTTTCCCGTTCAACTGTCCCGATGTACTCAAGTTTGTAATAATATTAGACTATCAAACAAGGGTGATTTTCTCCTTCTGTGAGCAATTAATTTTCTTCACAAGTTGGTCTCTTTCTAGACATCTTCATTGCTCTTTTTTTTTAAAATCTGTCCAGGGTAATCTCATTATCCCTCTATAAAATTACATCTTTGCCACTTCCAAGTAATATTTGGCTAAATGTCTGATTGTCCATGATTCACTTTCGTATATCAGGTTTGAACAACAGATGAACATCATGACACACGGGTAGTAACCCATAAGTGCTCCGTTCTTCTTCTAATTCAAGTCAGAATCTCATCACAGTGCATAGGCTCTGTAGCACCAGTGAGGATCTTGAAATACTTTAAGTAGATTTTTGACTACAAAACTTTGCCTGGGCAGCACCATTCGGCTACTCTTTTCGATTTGAACTGCCAAGGCCTTTTTACGTGCGCCACAATGCACACAAACGTCCAATCTCACTATCCAAAGACAAGGGAGAATGACTAGAAGTCAAAATTCACGTGAAAAAATCCCAGCCCTTACTGAGGATTGAACCTGGAACCACTAGCACTCGAGGTGGACACCACACAGCTCCCCATAGTTGACACAGAAAGATTGCATAAAGTAAGCTGGTTATTATTGATTCTTTTAATGACTACGGCCAGAAAATAATTGAAAAAAAAAAGCGAAACTGGCAACTCAACAACTTAGCAAAAAAGACAGAAAATCTTACAGCACTCTCCATTTGTTCTGCGGGTTTTGTAATCCTTCCTGGCTCCTTGTATCCCACAGGGGGTGCAAAATCAACCTGCCAGAGAAAAGACGGCAAGTCACTCTACGATTAATTTAAACATGCGCATACATCATATTCGTTTTTCGATATTCTATATACATATAAGAAACATGAAGCGCAGACATTGACTACACCGAAACACAGAACATACAACAAAGAAATAGAGAACACAGACATATAAAACATGGAGCACAGACATATAAAACATGTAACACAGACATATAAAATATGAAACACAGACTTTTAAAACATGGAACACAGACATATAAAACATGGAACACAGATAAATAAAATATGGAACACAGACATACGAACCATAAGCACACGGAACCCCTTTCGTGTCACAAAAAGTACAAGTTCAGATCTGAAATCCAACCACTAAAATATGATAGAACCTACCCTCATATCACATTCAATGATAGAGACAGCTTTCCCTGGCTTGCTCTCCAGAACACACAATTCATATTCCTGAAGAGAAGTTCAAACAGATGCATTTACTATTCTCTGTCAAGATTCACAGCAATTTAGTAACACATACTTCATTTTTTTCTGTTTAATTTTTTCTTCCTCTTTTCTCTAAACCTTGTTTTGCCTTTCAGCATCAGGTTTTAACGAGGCATCAAGTGTGAGCCTTGGTGTGTGTTGAGAAGATGCTGTTATTCATGGACTCAGATACTTCAACTATCCATCCAATGTGCAGGCACCATCTAATTTTATCTCCATTGTGTTTAAGTGACAGGGTCTTTGTGGTGCACTATCTTGTGGTAGTCTTAATACATGTCTTAACCATTTTTTGTGTTGTCTCTAGATGTAGCTTAGCCCCGATTCTGTCTCAACTTTCCCAGAAGATATGTCTCCAGAAGTAAATAATGACCCCCAGAAGTTAATAGTCCATTGTGTGCATTTTACGGATGTTACGCCTGGCTCTCTAGCGTCGTTGGCTAAACCGGATTGCGTGGTGACTGGGTGAAGAACTCCATGTGGTCCAGGTTCACTCCCGGGGGTAGGTAGAACAGCCACATTTATCCCAGATTTATGGTATTTACAATGGAATCAAGGCCAAAAGGTTGCGATATCCATAATACAGAGCCTAAGGGTTAACAATTCATGGCTTCTAGATACTAAAACAAACAAACAGGATGTTGCAGAACCAACCCCAGCATTTTGTTGTGGCTGTTTGTGATTTCCCTAGGTGATTTTACATTCATTAGTTTGCCACTGCCTCCTGAACAGTCGGCTCTTGATATCACTATTGAAACCATCTCTACTGCCAAATCGCCTGTAGTTGGGATTCAACCTGGCACTATATAATTATGAACACATGTTCACAATGCTTCAGCTGCCAAGGTAAATGATCACTATAAAGTTTATGAGTGAGCAGCTTTTAAACTAGCTACATTCAGTGTTGATCTGAAACAGCATCAAGACAGTTTTTCCATAAATGATGCTGAAAACATTTACTTATAGCAGAGCTGTAATTTTTGGGAACAGTGCAAAAAATGTTAGGGAATGATCATAATTATTATCAGGTGCTTTGCCAAATGGCATGGGTGAACATGCCTCTCCATATTCCACGATCTCCTGCAGCATGTATCAGTTCGTGTGCCGACACACCTCCATGCCATGCAACAAGACTGTCAAGAATCTTCTCTTGTTGTCTTCCTCTATCCCTCCTTCCACAGATCTTCCCAGTGGTCACAGCATGTTCTATTTTCCCTCTCCTCATAACATAGCTGAAAAATAATGACTGCTGATGTCTGTGATAAGTTGTCTTCAGGCTCCTGCCTCTTTCAAAACCTCTTGGTTGCTCTTTTTGGCTGTCCAAGGTATTCTAAGCATTTTTAGAGAATGATAGAAATACAAATCAGGCAGGCCTCCACGACACAGATAAAGCTAATTAAATGATCTTAAAAAATCAGACGTAGACAGTTGGTGTTTTTTAGACATGCTATGAGAAGGAATGGACTCCAGAAGTTAGTAACAACCGGCAAAAATGATCGGAAGAGAGCAAAGGGAAGGCAGAGAGATAAATACCAGGATGACTTAGCTTTATGAATGGGGCAACACAAAGAGCACTGATCTGATCCATGGGGGAGGGATCATGTGGCACGGCAAAACATGACAGCTGAAACTTATCAGCTCAGCACATAATAATGATGCTGAAATGATCTAGGACTCCCATATCCACCCAGTCTAAGATGGGTATCAGGAAATATACTAAGAAGTCAAGTCGGTCAGCCTGCTGGTGATCACATCACACATTGAGCACTGATTGCTCTATGTGATAGGTAGTTAGACATCCTTTGGATACTTACCCTGTAATGTGGGTGTATTGGGAAATGAGCAGCCAGATAGACTGGCCAGTTCTGCACCACTTGGTGGTGAACTGATGTATGACAAGCTGGATGTTGTGAGGGCCCTTTGAGAGCCAGTGAACAGTGAGGAGGCACAGAGAGATCATTTCAGCCTGAGGATAATGGCGCTGCGAGTAGTTACCAAGGGATCTGGCTAATGCTTGACACTCAAGGGAAAGGCAAGACGGATACACAATCAGACCGTTACTGGTGCCATCGGAACTGAACTTTTTACCTGCTGCTGAAGATGTGGACGGATCGCTTATGGAAGTGTCCCGAGTGCTATGATAAAAGGTAAAGTCGGGGGATGTGAACCAGCATCATTGCACATGGTTATAAACCATAAGTCCTCTGCCACAAGTATGGGCAGCTGATAAGAAACTGTCCCCCTGTGTCGCCGTCCGCATCAAACTCCATAGCTACAGCGACGTTCCTCTATTTACCCCAGAGTGTTACTGGTACCAATCACATAGAGGCTGGGTGAAACCCAGGCTACGCTCAGTTTTATACACCGGCCGTGGGCTGCAGCAAGTCGCTGCTGAAATTGAAAGCGAGTCTTCTATTGACTGTGCTAACATGGCCCCCAATGTCGATTCTTAATTCAACATTGTGATGTTGCTCCCTAGAGTGTCCAAGCTACATCACTTTGGAGTGGGACCTGCACTGTCCCATTGGTGAAAATTAAGCGAAACAAAAACAAATATGACTTATGGTGGACAATCGCAGCATGATACAGGCTTCTTCATCTTTCCTCTACTCCTGGAAAGCCTCTCAGAACCAGGACAGGAAGAGATCTGTGGAACGGGCCCTTCTGTTCGCTTCATATATAGTTATTACTTGTTAGTGTCTTTGATATTTCTGCGGTCCATATTCTGCATGGTTGATCTCTGGCTGTGTTACCGTTGTAGCAGTATAACATTGCTCTGTGTGGTGCCTTGTCTGATGCCAATCTTGTTACATGGTCAAACCATTTGATCTGTTGTCTACCAATAAAGTTCAGTATTGGTTCTGTGCCAACTTTGCTCCTGATATCAATGTTCCTAAGTTGATCTTTCCTTGCTACAATTAGCATAGGATGTAAACATTTCATTTCTTCTCAGTCAGTCATCTATAACAGTTGTCTAGGTTTGACTTTCAGGTGTTTAATTATCAACACAGTAACCTAACCCAATACACTGCACTGAGTTGAGCTGAGCCAAGAACTGACATCAACTGGCATTCCCATGTGTGCTCCGTCCTCATCCTCAGCAGCTAGCGCAGAGTTCCAATACAAATGGTACCAGTCGTAATCTGGTTATATGTTCGTCTTGCCTTTCCCCTGGGTGTAGTGAGCCGGCCAGAACCCCAGGTTACACCCAGTTGCCTCGTTCTCTCCAGGCCATAATAATCTTGTTCACTTCTGACTCCGTTGCTTGGTTCCCAAAGGACCCAGACCACATCCACCTTGTCATGTATTACATCACTACCCAGTGGTGCAGATCCAGCCAATCTGTCAGCCTGTTCATTCCCCAACCCCGCCAGCATGGTCTGGAAAAAAGATCTAAAGGATGCTCACTACCTGTGACCTTCTACTGCACTCTACTTATAAAAATCCTTTAAAAAAAAAAAATCGTCAACTCAGCACAACATCCCACAATCTATAACATCAATATAGTTCTCTATTATTAGCTACCTTCAACATCAGTATTGTTTTCCTTTATAGCCCCTATAACATCAATCTAGTACTCCTTTTTAGCCCAAATAACAGCAATTTAGTTCCTCCTTATAGCCCCTACAACATCAATCTAGTTCCTTTTTTTGCCCCTATAACATCAATCTAGTTCTGCTTTATAGCCTATTCAACATCAATCTAGTTCCCATTTATAGCCCCTACAACATAAATCTAGTTCCACTTTATAGCCCCTACAACATCAATGTAGTTCCCCTTTATAGCCCCTACAACATCAATCTAGTTCCACTTTATGACCCCTACAACATCAATGTAGTTCGCCTTTATAGCCCATTTAACATCAATCTAGTTCTGCTTTATAGCCCCTATAACATCAATCTAGTTTCCCTTTATAGCCACCATAACATCAATCTGGTTTCCCTTTATAGCCCCCATAACATCAATCTATTTCCCCTTTATAGCCCACAAAACATTAATCAATCTAGTTCTCATTTACAGGTATCTTTAACATCAGTATAGTTCTGTGTTGAACAGCGAATGATATTATGAACATTGTCTAGTATTTCAATTCAGTTTACCTGGAAATCATTAGTTTACTTACTTTATCATTGTATTTGATGGCCACAACATCGCCCTGGGTCAGACAGGCAAAGTTTCTCAAGGCATTCTCAAGTCTATAGCCAGTTAAGGAAAACTGACTCTTTCATGCGTCTGGCACTCAGGAATATAGCGCCGGATTTATATACATTTTAGACTGGGTCAAACAGGGAGCACACAGACGTATGAAACAGAAATGTGTAACATAGACAAATAAAACAGAAACAACGAGCATAGACATATTTAACACAGAAACACGGAGCACAGACATATAAAACACAGAAACATGGAGCACTGACACAAAAAACACAGAAACATGGAGCACTGACACAAAAAACACAGAAACATGGAGGACAACCACAAAATGCAGATACATGAAGCACTGACACACAGAGAAACATGAAACACAGACACTTAAAACACAAAAACATGAAACACAGAGAAACATGGAGCACAGACACATAAAACACAGAACATGAAGCACAGACATATAAAACATAGAATTATGAAACACAGGCAGGTAAAACACAAAACATGAAGCACAGACACATAAAACATGGAACAGAGACAAACAAAACACAGAAATATGGAGCACAGACATTTGAAACATAGATACATGAAGCATAGACATATAAAACCAAGAAATATGGAGCACTGACATATAAAACACAGATATGTAATTTGGCCATCGGGCCACCCACTAAACAGTCCTTCCTGTATTGGTGTCTTAAAAGTGTGTCAATGGAGGCACTAGCTTAAAAAACCTGCAATTTTTCTCCGTCTTCTGCTTATTGGAAACTATAATAATTCAGTCCTGTCCTTTATTGATGCTGTCATTCCAGTTTCTTCTCTACCCCCCCCCCCTCCCCCGTGTTCCTGAAAGCATAGTTTAAAAGGATACACAGCCTTAGGATTGGTGATATCCAGGAAGTCTACAGACTGAGGCTGGAACTTGGCATACGTGGCGACCGGCAGGGAGACGTTGTCTATCTGGATAAAGTCTCCCTCATCTACACACAGGTTTCTCATCATCTGTTGAAGTATATGTGCAAAATTTAACTCATCTGTTGTGACATATGATCGATATTTAACTCATATATAGTTAACACAGGAGCAACATTTAAATCATATGTTGCAATATATTATCAATATTTAACTCATCTATTGTAACATATGCTCAATACTGAATTTCATTTGTTGTAATATATGATCAATATTAAACTAAATTGTGTAATATATGATCAATATTTAAGTCATCAATGAAACATAGATCAAAATGTAACTTATATGTTGTACATATGATCAATATTTAACTCATTTTTGTAACGTATAATCAATATGTCATTTAATCTGTTGTAACATATGTTCAATATTTAACTTGCCTGTTGAAACATATGAACAATATTTATTCACCTTTTTAACATCTGATAAATATTTAATTTATTTTGTAACAAATGAACAACACTGAACTCATTTTTGTAACACATGATCAATATGTAATCATCTGTTGTAACATACTGGTTGAGTAAGAAATACGGCTATATGTTTATGTAATCAGATTGCAGTACTATGGCTAAGGTAATAATGAGACGCCTGAAAAGGCAATTCTTCAAACTTACAATATATAATAATGCCAAGTCCTTAATTTGGCTCAGACTGTTTGCTGCTCACATCAAAGCATAACTGGCAAAGCTGTGTCAAGCTGCTCTCACAGCTTTCGGATAAATACTTATTGGAATAACCTGAACTTCTTTCTCAGTTTAGTGTAGCTGTATTTCTGACTCACTGACTCATCCTGATCATATTTTATGACCAACTAGAGTTAACTGCCGGCTTCACATGGATAGTGAGAGAGAGAGAGAGAAAAAATTTCATCATCGCGTTCTTTACCTCATCTTTGTCTCAACTGCTGCTGTAGATGTAGCAGAAACTCCAAGGACGAGCAAGCATAACAGGAGCCTTCTGATCATCAGACAAAGTCCCCAATCTTTGAATGTTTCGACCTCTTCACTTTCCTTACAGGAGGATAGTGCAAGAACATTTTACTCTACCATCCTCCACTTCATTTTTGTCTCCAAAGCTGCTATATGTTCAGATATTGCCCTCAGTGGGCCTCAGGCTTTTACCAGGGGTTTGACCGATGAAGCTACTGACCTTTTAACTGCCCCCAGTAGTCACAGGATTTCACCTGATGATCAGACTGACTCTCAACGATAAGCTCATTCCGTGTGTGGGTTCCAGGACACCAAACAAAAAAGATCCTCTGTCTCCAAAACAAGCATGTCCTAGGAGCCAACTAATTGTGGACTTTCTTCGAAGTCGGAGTGCTTCTGCTCGAGCAGCAAGTAACCAACCAATTGTACACAAAAAAGAAAGTAAAATGGATGTACATGCAAAACTCAGACCCTGGCATAAAGCCAAATTCCTAATAGAAGAACAAGCAGGACTTTCTGCTGGAGATTACAGCCAGTGAACAAACAAGAAGAAAAGCTTCTGTGGAAATTCTCTGAAATAACAAATAAGTCGATACATACCCAGTAAGGAATGAAGATGCGGCCCTCGTCAGCAACAAATTCCAACACACCACAATGTGTTTCCCTGTTGGACTTTTTGTTTGTCAGCTTAAACAACATAGGGTACTGAATGTTCAGTCGAGCTGCAGGATACATCCATAGTTATGTTACATATTTAACATTTAATCAGGCTTTAACGCCCCAACACTTGGCTGAGGTACAAGATGGAAGAGAAGAAGAATCAGGCTCTAAGGCTACATATAAAGTAACAAGGTCTTCAATGCTTGAGTCAACCTTAAAGCAAACCACAGTAACATCAGATCTTTCACACTTAATCATTATGGCCACCTACAAAGTAGTCTCTTCACATATATGTGGAGCCATCAAAGATGCAAACAGCAGGAAATGGAGAGTGAGAAGCAACAACAAAATTTATAAATCACCACTGATCACTGGCATCATGAAAGCTAACAGACTGAAATGGTTGGGGCATACTGAAAGAATGTCAGATGACAGAGAAGTAAAAACTGTATACACGAGGGAGATAAAAGGTTGTAGACCGTGAGGCAGACCAAGAAGATTATGGAGAGAGAGTGACCAGACAGATCTGCAAATACTTGGTGTCACCAACTGGAAAGAGAAGGCCAACCAGAGAGATGAATGGAGGCAAGATATCTGCAGCAATGAACCTCAAGAGCTTGGAATGCTGAAGAATATATATATATATATATATATATATATATATATATATATATATATATATATATATATATATATATATATATATATATATATATATATATATATATATATATATATATATATATATATATATATATTTTAAGGACCACCTCTATGGTGAATTGAATGTTGAATAAGGAATTGACATTACAGCATTCGGGACACTCCCATAAGTGCTCAGTCCCTATCTTCAGCAGCAAGCGAAAAGTTACAATTCCGATGGTACCAGTAAACGTCTGAATGTATATAAATATATGATAAATTAAAGATGGGTAGAAGATGTGGAGGTCGACCTCTACTATGATAAAATGATGTGTGAACGCGGGAGTGAATGATACAGGTATTGACGTGGAATTGTGGTAACAAAATGCCATGGACCATGTTGTGTGAAGGGAGTGCATCAGGAAGGGAATGAGAATGAAGAAAAAATAATTGTTGAAAGGATGAGGTCTGGAGCGTCAGAAATGAATCAGACCAAACATAAATGTTGACAACAATGGTCCTGAGATCCCATAATTGTGGAAGACTTCTCTTAACCTGGGTGGGCCTTGCTAGCCACCATAGGCTGTGAGTCCTATGCCTCCTCATAGCGCAATATAACACTATCGCCTGGAAAGACGTAGAGGTACCAATGAATAATTGATTGAGCAACAACTTTTTTTCCTGGTCTCTTCAAAATCTCTGTATTTCTCCAGCTCTGCTTTAACACAACTAATATATCAATTCATTTGTTAAAACCAAGAAAACAATTAACCCTAATCTTTACAGCAAATTACAACCTACAGAGGATAATCATACACCAAACAGTAATGACAAGAAAGAGTTAAATATCTGTTTGCACTTACTGAGTTGATCCAAAGCTGACGGTGGCATGATGACTGGGAACAGAAACAAATGTATCAGTTATCCAGTGTTGGGCAGACATGTAAGTATGTGACTGAGTGAGTGAGTGGGTGGGTGAGTGAGTCTTCTTCTTCTTCATGTTCACTGGCTGTAAATTCCGGCAGAAAGTTATGGTTGTTCGTCCACCTCTGTACTTTAGTCTTGTTCCAGAACCTGAGAGCTGTGTGCACATCCATTTCACAGATCTGACTTATTTGTATGCAGACTATTGGTTCCCTTCCTCTCATGCAGATGCCCTCTGAATTTAAAGCAAGCTCCCAATTAGTAGACTCTCTTGTCTTGCTTTTGGGGAGGCTGTGGGTCTATTCTTGTTTTCCCTATGAGTGAGCATGTGACTCTGTGAGTGAGTGAGTAGATAGGTGAGTAAGTGGGTAAGTCAGCGAGTGGGTAAGTGATTGAGTGGGTAAGTGAGCAAGTGGGTAACATTGGCGGAAAGTTCTATGTGTTCATTCTACTCTGGACTTTAGACTTGTCCCAGTACCTGAGTTTTTCATGCACATCTATTTTACAGAACTGGCTTATTTGTATGCAGACTGTTAGTTCATTGCCTCTCAGGCAGATGCACTCAGACTTCAAAGGAGACCTTTAATTAGTCAACTGTTGTGACATGCTTGTTAGAGAGACAGTAGGTCCATTCTTGTTTCCTCCCATACCTGGGTCTAGAACCCGTATAGGCAGTAAAAGGTCAACTAAATAAGAGTTTAGAGTGTATCCTTCTAAATCGGTGTGCATGTGCCTGAGAAATGAGGACCCAAGTCTGCATACAAATAAGTCAGATCTGTAAACAGATGTGCATACAAAACACAAGTTCTGGAACAAGACCAAAGTTCAAAAGTGGATGAACAACCATAACTTTTCCACAAAAGTTTATGGCTGGTTAATGTAAAAAAAAAATTTGCATTTTTCTTCAGAAAACACATTTTTTCTGCCGTCAGTTGTTTCTCAGCCTGTCTGCTTGTTCTCCAAGAAAAAAGAATCATGAAAAGTGGTAACAAATATACCATCACAGCAATAAGAATAAAAGAGGATAGTGGTGTTTAGCAGGCAACTATCTCAAGCAGGACCATGGAGAAAACTGCTGCTTCCAGAGCGCTAGCTTGTGCAGCAGAACAAGCAACCACACATGCAGTAATTGTACCAGAGAATTGCAGCAGGCAGCGTATGCTCTGAATGGGTAGAAAGAAATTCCAAAATTGCACTTAACCACCCTCACCTGGATCTACACACTGTGTCATGCTGGCGTAAAAGGTAATGAGCGAATGGTCCAACTGGCAAGCAGTGCACCAACGCATGCTAGAAGAAGCATGGATAACGCAGATATTATCAAGGCTGTACAGACTGGGCTAGTGGATAAGGAAGATACTAACATGACTGCGTGATCTGGGAGTAAAAAAAGGTGAAGCACGTCTAAAAAATGTTAAGTCTCTTCTCCCCCCCCCCTCCCTTTAAGCATAAAGGGTTAGACCTATATTTTACAGACCAATCCCCACTCAGTGGGTGATGTTGTCAACATCACGCCAGCCGCATTTACTTCCCAGAACTACACCTTGCACCCATTCAAAGCTGGGTCAACCTGGGAGTCAAAGTCATTTTTTTTTCAAGAAACAAAAAGTCAGCTTCAATCAGGACCCGAACCCATGACCTTCCGATCCATAGGCTAGCGTCCAGCTGCTACACCACAGCGGCTACTGAAGCAGTTCTATGCCACCCTCAAAGCTGAGATAGGAGACATCACAGCCAATTCTTTGAGGGAACAATCAGCAGAGGTACCTTAGAGTGGCTGCTGCATGGGAGGACGGTGCATACTTGGGGATGCTCAAATATGTAGTGATGTTGACTGTGATAACATAACATAGCGATGTTTTCAAAAACTAACTGAACAAACAAGAGAAGCTTACTTTTTCCACCTCTCTCCACATCCTCCCTGTCCCCAAGCATGGTGACACTGAAACATTTGTAAGTCGCCTGGAAGGTCCGTCCAGCTGTGAAGTCTGGGAACCCAGCCGAGAAACTGAACTGAATATTCAACAACAACAAAATACATTAATTATTGGGGGATTCTTGTATGGGTTCTGGGGTCCCATTGTGGGGGAAAACAAGAAAAGACCCACTGCCTCTCCAACAAGCATGTTGTAAGACTCGACTAACTGGGTAGGTCCTTCAAAGTCGGAGTGCATCTGCCTGAGAGGCAAGGAACTAACAGTCTGCACTCAAATAAGTCAGATATGTAAAACTGGAAAATGGATGTGCAGGCAACACTCCAGTTCTGGAACAAGACTTAAATCCAGAGGTGGCTGAACAACCAGAACTTTCACTTGGAGCTTGTGAACGCGAAGAAGAAACAAAAGAATGATTGGGGGAACCACTGAATGAGGGGCAATTATTGGGGGATTCTTGTATGGGTTCTGGGGTCCCATTGTGGGGGAAAACATGAAAAGACCCACTGCCTCTCCAACAAGCATGTTGTAAGACTCGACTAACTGGGTAGGTCCTTCAAAGTCGGAGTGCATCTGCCTGAGAGGCAAGGAACTAACAGTCTGCACTCAAATAAGTCAGATATGTAAAACTGGAAAATGGATGTGCAGGCAACACTCCAGTTCTGGAACAAGACTTAAATCCAGAGGTGGCTGAACAACCAGAACTTTCACTTGGAGCTGGTGAACGCGAAGAAGAAACAAAAGAATGATTGGGGGAACCACTGAATGAGGGGCAATGAATAAATATAAGGCATAGGTGGGGACAAACAAGAAACATTAATTACCAGATTTAATTGCCCAGTTTTGCCCAAGATAGTGAAAGAAAGTCTGGCTATCTTCTGAATAACGGTCCCAAATATACCCTAACAGGGCCTCAGTCACATGTCAACTGCAAACTTCTGGGGACTATACAGCCACCACCGAGAGTATCCCCCATGCCGCTCACGCGGCGTGGATTAAGGCTAAACTAGATGGCTGGGACTCACGAGCAAATAAAATCAAGGCAGCTACAGGAAATGCGGTAGCTGCTGCTTGTGAGGCCCAGCCATCTTGTTTAGCCCCAATCCATGCCGCGTGAGCGGCGTGGGGGAAGTGCGCAATTTAAGTCGCCGGAAGTGCGCAATTTAAGTCGCCGGAAGTGCGCACTTGACTCATGACTGAGGCCCTGTTGGGGTATATTTTCTGCCTCGATAATTTGGGACTGTTTCGAAAGATAGCCGAAAGTCTTATTCTCCCATCCTCTACACAAACAAACAATACCTTTCCACAATTTATTACCAGACATATTTTGCAGTATCATCTCGTCAGGTGCGTTATTACAGATTTAAATCTACATAAGGTAGGTAGGTAAGTTGTACCCCATCAGGACATTACACAAGCGATAAACTCCTGCCCGGTGACACAAAGTGCCACCATGCGGATTAGGATCACCCGTGGAGAGGTCCCAGAAACCCCGTTCAGCCGTTACACCATATTTCAGACCCAGCTATATTTATTAATAACTAAGGGTCCCCGGTAAAAGCCGGTGGCGCTTAAAAAAAACACTAAAAATTGCATCCAACAAGGGGATAACGAGATATTATTATTACATCAACATAAAATGAAGCACAAAATAATGATTAACTGTAACTAACTGAAATGTGAATGAGTTTCGTCTTTCGATGCATCAAATTAATTAAAAGAATATTAAATTTGATTAAAACTAAAAAGTAAACTACATATAATAATGAACAGCATCAACAATTCTTAGTATGACTCATTCAAATTCACTCAGAATAATAATCATAAACATATGATCATCACCATGTTATGAAAGAAATTTATTCCAGTCTTCGAAGAACAACAGAGAGAAATGATTTAGCAAACGTAGACAAATCCGGAAGTTTGTGTTGATTGTCTATAAGAGTGGTCTCCCATGTTTTCAAAAAATCTATCAGAAATAGAAGTGAAATTAATCATCATCATTGTCCCATAACGGCATGTCGTTGGGTCACCTGTTGCCACTTTGCACCGAAATAAACAATCGGGGAACTCTTGAGGCTGTAGAAACATTATATATAATAAATAAATAGACTGGTACTGATCAACACTCATAGAAAGAAGTGGACGGACACACTACACAACATAAAATCGAAAGCTATAGTTACTATTACTAATAGTATAATACTATTATTAATACTATGCAGGGAAACGAAACTGTCACCTCCAGATGACAACAGGGCCTCGCTATAAAAACAAGTGTACTAAAACGCATGACCAACTAGGCACCCCTAAAATGTGCCTTCATTGCTGCAGTTGAATTATGAGTTCCATCCATCTCTATATACCCTAATTAAAACACAGATGGGTTTAACACGATATAGTTGTTTAAATCCCTACTATTATTACTGAAATCCACTCTGGTTGAATTATGCATCAATACTATTTAAACAGAGCCGTCTTGACGCGTGGGTCCACTGGGAACTTGCCCGGGGTGAGGGGGGGGGGGCGCGCGAGCATTGGGTCACATGCTACTCTGCCTATTAGTTTAATATTATCGACCACTGACATTTCATTACTGTGCGCAGTTGGCTTAGGGCACCGTAAAAAAATTAGTTGCGCATCCTTTACAGGACGTTGCAGAACCAGCCCCAGTACTTTCTGGCTGTTGTGGTTTTTCTAGGCAAATTTAAGTCCAGTAGTTTGCCATTGAAATGGACTCATAAAATAACGCAACCTCCCACAGCCTTTACTTTTGGACGGTCAGCTCTCGGTACCACTGTCAAACCATCGCAAGACAAACCGTCCGCAAAAGCAATCGAACCCGGCACCCCGGCATTACGCCTTAGCCATAGACGCCGACAGGGGCACAGTAACTGGTTCCTAATTCAACATTCATTTCGTAGTCGTTTACAACTTGCAAAGGGTTTGGGGTCACCAGTTTTTGTTGAAAGCCAGCGTTCTAAAGCTCTTTGGTATTAGGCGACCATTTTTAATTGTTCTAAAATGTTCTTTATGAATCAGAATGCTGGAGAAAGACCAAAAATGATGCACACAAGGTCTCCACCTTCCACCAGACATGTCTATGTAGAATTGTCAACATTTTATCGCCAGATCCAATCTTATACACTAAACTACTTCGTCACAAACCAAGCAATTCTAGACCCTATAATAACCAGTAGAAGGTGGAAATGGCTTGGCCACGTTATGAGAATAAATCATGATATACCTGCCCAAACCGCTCTCACGTAGACACCAGAGGGATAAAAAAAACAAAGCGCTCCCCCCCCCCCCCCCCAAAAAAAAACTATTAGGTCAGGAGTGCAGAGAGTGGCCAGCGGTGTTACAGAGAATGAAGTCCATCAGTTGATTCACGACAATTCACGTCTAGGTGATCTGCTTATCTATACAGATGGTTCGGTGGTGAGAGGAGAGAGAAGTGCCTGGGTGTTCGTAATGAAAGCCAATGGAAAATCTTTAGTGCAAGACAGCCTGGCAAATGACAGCACAACATCTAGCCACGGCCATCTTTAGATATAAATAAAAAGTTAAAGCCGGATGTGATCTAGCATGAGAATAGAGGTGGAGGCGGTAACTGAAGCTCTCCGGTGGCTAGAGAACAAGATGCATACACATGTCGTAATTGTAACAGACTCTGAAAGCATGATGAAAAAGGTGAAGACATGGATGCTTCGAGCAGAGTGGCAAGCTTCACTAAAAAGGTCACGGTTGGTGAGCATACTTTGGATCTTTTCTCCAGGCTATGCCGGCGTTGTGGGTAAAGAACAGGCAGACAGATTGGCTAGATCCACACAGCTAGGTGGTGAATTGATACATGACTAGGCAGATGTGGTCAATGCCCTTTGGGAACAAGCAACAGAATCAAGATTATTATAGCCTGGGGAGAATGAGGCACCTGGGTGTAACCAGAGGGTCTGGTCGGCTCACTACACTCAGAGGAACGGCGAGACGGACATATAACCAGATTGTGACTAGTACCAGCTGTATTGGAACTCTGGCTGCTGAAGATGAGGACGGAGCATGCATGGGAACAGCCAGCGCAGAGTTCCAATACTGATGGTACCGGTCACAATGAATAGTAAGGGAAGTTACTCTAATCCTGGACCTGGAAACGTGAACAGGACCCGAATTTATTTTAAGAGAACCTTTTTAAAGCAGCGGTTTTCAACCTGTTGATCGCGATAGAAAGACCCTTTCGCAGGGGTCGCCTAAGACCAGCAGAAAACACATATTCAATAGCAGAGAAAATAATTTTATTGTTGGGGGTCACGGCAACATAAGTAATAAAGGGTTGCGGCATTAGAAAGGTTGAGAACCATTTTAAAGGATTACTTAGTATAATGTATGCGATTATGCAAACATGTTCTTTCATATTTCTTTTACTAAAAAATTAAACAATATATTTCCATTATCGGTGTATCAAAAAATAATTTTTTACACGTTTCTTTGGCCACATAATGAGAAGAGAGACATTGGAGAATATCGTGACAACTGGAAAGATCAGTGGAAAAAGGGGTAGAGGCAGACCAAAAGAGATAATGCTGGATGGGCTGAAACGATGGTGTGGAGGGATATCTTCAAGAGAGATGTTCCAGGGATCGTGATCTGTGGAGATGCATAAGCGCTTACGCCAGTTGGCAGGGCACATGATGATGATATACATAATATAATATTTTCCGTGATTAGCTGGTGTAATTTAAAATAGAAGGGGCTTCAGTGCTTTATAGAGCTCAGGGTCTCATAAAGTCTAAATTGAAAACTGGATAAAGCATATTACCCTGGATTAGAAAGATAAAGAGATTAAAGTTGACAAGATATTAAACTTAAATGTTGACACCTTTCCATATTTCCGGGTTGGGTGGGGGTAGTGTTATCTTTTTGTCGTTCACCGGCTGTAAAATCAATAGGAAAGTTTTGGTTGTTGGTCCATTATTAGACTTATTGTAGAACTTGAGTTGTGCGTGCCCATCCGTTTACAGACATGTTTAATTATAATAAAACCCCTAAATAGTCGACTCTAATTTCATGTTTGTTAGGGAGTCAGTGGGTCTATTCCTGCTCCCACACCCATCCACAATGGGGTCCCGGAACCCACACGGGCAGGGTAGTGTTTTTTTTTTTTTTTTAATAGAAAAAAGGGAGAGGGTGGATGAATCACTGCAGGTGGTATTGGCAAATGTTTCAGTGCTTTATTATTATCTTACCCCATGTAGATGAATGAACGCCTACGCCGGCTGACAAGGCACTTGATTATGATGATTATCTCATTAGGTGTGGTACTCCTTTTTTTAACTGGAAAAAATTGCCTGCACCAACACATAATGAGGCTTCTTCTTCTTCTTCTTCTTATTATTATTATTTTGTTTCTTTTCATGGTGGTTTTCACATTGATGGATACAGGCCTCTGCGAAGTCTGTGTTGTGACTTATGCCTAGCACTGTTCCAAACATCTTGATTTTTTTGGGGGGAATGCCAACCGGCCAAACCTGAGAACACTCTACTGCTTGTAGAGAGCCTGTCTGTAGCACATACTCGATGTTCTGTGGTGCCTGTCTACATTGGCGACGTTCTGAACCCACAGTCTTAAATATTATTCACATGTGGTTGGCAGAGTTTGTTGTATCATGTACGCAATTGCGCAATCTAAATATGAGAGAGTTTGTTGTATCATGTACGCAATTGCGCAATCTAAATATGAGGATCTGTTTTCTTTCATGTGAGGAAAGATTAAAACCTCAACGAAACGTATATCAGCGAGCTTCACAATATAACAAACATACACAAAATGTGAATGTTGCGGCTATGGAGCCTTCGTCAGCACATACACACATAAGACAGCAAGTACACAAATACACAATGTAAAGTTTAGGTTGTTCGTCCATTACTGGACTTAAATCTTGTTCTAGAAAATAAATTGTGCGTGCCCATCCGTTTACAGATCTGTTTAATTATAATAAAACCTCTAAATAGTCTTTCACATGAGGAGCTTGATTGTGTCTTCAAGATTATGTCTTCGATAAGAAGTGTTCCACTTGGTTATGATTGCTTCCTTGATCTGAGTTGTATGTTCCTTTATTAATATTATTTTTTTAATAAAGAGTCTCAAACCGGGAAACTTTTAAAATGATTCGTGTTTTGTGCTTCATTATATGTCGATGCTAAATTTGAAGAAAAGCACATGAAGCCGTTTACGAACATATCACAATCACATTCATCGCCTTGTGCAAATTTATACGTTCCATAAGACCGGCTAGCTGTTTCTCAGTTCCATTCTGTCCGGTGCAGTTCTGTCGATATCATAGGTGGAATTCAGTCCAACACCTTTGCCTTCTCTCATCAACTTTCGTCTTTGTAAATCTGTTGAGTTCCTAGTTTCCTACGATCCATTATCGTTTGTTATCTAGCTTCCAGATATATCTTTCGTGACGAGATAAAGTTTTAAAACGAAATTCATAATCTGTTTAAATCACCATTGATTATTGGCATGAGAGCTAATAGATTGAAATGGCTGAGGCATATTGAAAGAATGTCAGATGACAGAGAAGTAAAAACTGTATACACGATGGAGATGAATGGTCGTAGACCACGAGGTAGACCAAGAAGACGACAGAGAGATAATATCCAGACAGACCTGCAAACACTTGGTGTCACCAACTGGAAAGAGAAGGCCAACCAGAGAGATGAATGGAGGCGGGTGATATCTGCAGCAAAACCTCAAGGGTCGGAATGCTGAAGGAGAAGAACAAGAATCTAGCTTCCAACACATCTAAACCACAGAGGCTTTTGAGCTGAAATGCTATAGAAAGATACATAGAATACCAGAGACTAAGAAGAAACAAAAATACTGAACATCAGCGAAAACTGGCTGGTTCACAGCATCTTGTATCGGAATCTAATATAATTTGGCCATACCAAGCGCCACAGCGGATTGGAAAGAGTAGTAGCGGAAAGTGTGGTGCCGGGAAAGAGAGACAGGGGCCTACAATCACAAAGACGGGAACATGATAAAAGTGACACCTTGGGTGAGGAGAGGGCATGAGGCGAGTAGAAACCGAGTTTCTTTCAAGCAGGTTGTGGTGAGAACGAAGTCTGCAAAGGAGCTGCTACACAATTATCTGTCTATCTTTTACAAACTGATTAGTGATAAGAAAGGATTATCATCACAGCACTCCGGATAGACCCATAGGTGCTCCGTTCTCCTCCTCAAAAGCTCCACAAGTGTAAAACGACTGAAGACGCCTGTTCTGTGTTGGTAAATGAAACGTCTTGTCCCCTTAATAAAATATTCATTTCTTGCAGCTCCAGGCTGCACCCCTATGTCCATAAGTCTAGACAGAGATCCGGAGTCATGCTCCTCGGTACAGTAAGTGCAGCAGTTTCTCTTTCACTTCCTCCACATATCTTGTTCTTGGTCGGCCTCTTGACCTGTCACAAAGATGAAGGTTAGGGCAGCTGTTCGTGATGTGCTTTGTTTGCAATACATTCTTGCCTGATAAATCCAGCTTGGATTTTTTAAGCATATTCACAGAGTCACTAATAATGCATAAGTGTGAGTACCAAGCCATGCTAATGCCCTTGTTACAGCCATAGTTTTTTTTAATAATTTTTTACATGTTCCTTATTATCACAGGCTTATTGCACTGCGTCTTACACTTACGCAAAGTGCAATTTTAACATAATTTGAAATTCATTTAATAAAATTATCAACATGATAATATTTCTGGACAATTTAGCCCTGGTGTCTTCTCATGCAGTAAGATAAACCCACTCCAAGTTGTAGCTTAGATTATTTTTCATTCCAGGGAATGCGTGATTCGGTTGGAGGCAAAATAGGAAGAGGGGCCAGCGGGAAAAATATTCCTAATTATTCAGGATATCTTTACCAAAATCGTTTCTACGTTTAAAAATCTTAATAAGTTTTCATATTATTGAAATTAATTAACAATATTGAACTGACAGATTCGAGAAGCTGCAAGAAAACTCGAGAAAAGGAAGTTTGATCCGAATGTTCTCGAAACGACAATTCCCAGTTTTGCATCAGCAGCATCAGCAAGGGGGAGGCCATTACTGTGAGAAGTTTCCATTGTTTGCCAAAGTGCGACATCGCTGCTGACTCAAATAAATTGTTATTTTTACTGTTTACCGTGTTGTTTTGTGAGTATTGTCACCCAAATACTTAAAAATTAGAGAATTAACTTTGTTTTGATTGTATAATGTTAGTCATTTAGCGGCCTGTATTGTTTATTATTTATTTAGAGAAAAGAAACATTTTTAAACAAATGGTTGAAAGATGAAAAACCTGCGTCTCTTTGAGCTGTGACTTGAGATCAGTTTAGCGTTGAAGAGCTAACTTTGCTAAGCGAAAGCTGAAGCAAGCTAGTGACTAGTGAACGGGTAAGACTTAGAGAAGTCATCATCCCCTGTCGGAGTACATCTGCCGGAGAGGCGGGGAACGAGTACTGCAAACAAATAAGCCAGTAAAACGGATGTACACGCAAAACTCAGGTCAAGGTAAAAGCCAAAAGTCCATTTTGGACGAACAACCGTGACTTACCGCCGGAATTCACAGCCGGTGAACAAGAAGAAGAAGAAAAATCATCCCCTCATTATTTAGGGGTAGAATTGCATGTGGTTGGTTGCAGTTTTTTTTTTTAAAGCACATAGTAGTTAACATACATTATACATAAAACTTTTTGCTCTCCTTTAAATAACGGTCGCTAGCTGGAAAGCCGACGGTCGCTTAGTCGGAGTGCGCTCCCTTGGCTGCATTGCAAATACGGAGCGTAAAGAGGGAACGACACAACTGACATTCTTACCTGTCATCATACGGTTGCGTAGGGTTAGGGGTAGGGTTAGGGTTAGATGTGACAATTTTGACGCAGGAGTTCCAAATACTGGCCGACAATCTGATGCTTTTGGGAGTTGTGCCACTGGAATTCTCCTAAATATGACGACAGTAGCGCGCTGCGGTGCCCAATTGATGGCGAATTGTCCGTTTGAGTAGCATCCACAGTCCTTCAATTGTTTGGGTGTCTTTGTCACTGTACGCAATTATTTGGAACTCCTGCGTCAAAATTTTCACATCTAAACCTAACCCAAACCCTAACCCTAACCATGAAAACTTATCGGTCATTAAAGCATACAGATCTGCACGAGTCACATCCGTGGCAACTAAGTCGTGCGTCGCAAGACCGTGGTTGCTAATGTGAGTCGGAGCTCGATGTCTTAACTGTCATGTTGACCTTATTTTTGATTCGTGACTTTTCCATTCCGTATTTGCAATGCAGCCAAGGGAGCGCACTCCGACTAAGCGACTGTCGGCTTTCCAGCTAGTGACCGTTATTTAAAGGAGAGCCAAACTTTTGGCTATGAGCTATCTTCTGAATAACGGTCCCAAACTATCGATGCCGAAAATATACCCAAACAGAGCCTCAGTCACGTGTCAATTGCGTACTTCTGGGGACTATACCACCACCGCCGAGAGTACCCACCACGTGCCGTGGATTGGGGCTAAACTAGATGGCTGGGACTCGAGCAAATAAAATGAAGGAAGCTGCAGGAGATGCGGTATGAGCTGCTGCTCGTAAGTCCCAGCTATCTAGTTTAGCTCCAATCCACGTGGCGTGGGGATACTCTCGGCGATGGTGGAAGTGCACAACTTAAGTCGCCGGAAGTTCGCAATTGACACGTGACTAAGGCTCTGTTAGGGTATATTATCTGCCTCGATAATTTGGGACCATTATTCGGAAGATAGCCAAATTTTTAAAAATTAAAAGTGAAAAAAGAAAAAGAAAAGTCAAATATATTTTATATGGAAACCGACCTTTACTGTCTTACTTTTGCGATCGCAGCAGAAGCTATGATAGCTTATTAAGTCTTCTACCTACTTCTAGGGACTGGGTATAACTTGAGAAGCCATCATCATCCTTCAGTACTAACCTTGGCTATCAGCAGGGTAGTACTTGAAGGCATTAAAGATGTCCTAAGCCTAATGATACATTTTTGGGAGGTTTCGCAGGGTATCCGGTTGGCGTGCAGTAGAATGGGCTGATATACTGCCACAGAAGTTATACATTTGTGACAATCAGGTGATTACAGAATCTGAAAATATGACCAGACTGCAAAAACAGCAGATGAACAGGCTAGAGTACTTTGCAGGAAGCCAAATAACCCAAAAAAATGTTAGGCAAAGCTAAAAAACAGCGACCCAGGGGAGCCTGTCTATTGTTTGTTTAAAGCAACCATAAGGGATACAATCTGTTGTTTGTTTACATTCACATAATAATGTTCTATAATATTTAATATTGTTAAGGGTTTTGTTTTTGGGTAACAAAAACCGCAAACAATATAAAAGAATATTAAGCTATTTTTCGAAGAACGGTCCCAAATTATCAAGGCTGAAAATATACCCTAACAGGGCCTCAGTCATGTGTCAATTACGAACTTCGGTGATTTAAATTACGCACTTCCGGCGACTACCGCCACTGCTGAGAGTATCTCCCACACTGCTGCGCGCAGAGTGGATTGGGGCTAAATTAGATGGCTGGGACTCACAAGCAGCAGCTACCGCATCTCCTTCAACTTCCTTCATTTTATTTGCTATTTATTGACTATATTCATGGCCCCTGGTAAAAGCCAGGGTGGGGCTTCAAAATAAAAAATTATATCCCAAAAGAGGATGGAATTTCTGTTGCTAGTTTTGCCAGTTTTGTCATTAACCTATGGTCATTCCTGAAAAAAAAAAAATCCTTCAAAAAATTGTTTTACACAGATCACTATTAAAGTCTTTAAAAACCTATTTATCTAATTTTTAAAATTATTTTTGAAATATGTTAAGGGAGCGTCAGGAAACACAAACTGGGTGAAACATTAAATGGAATACACTCCTTGGTACCTAAATCAAACGTTCATTGAAAACTGACTTGTACTGTGACCCAGTGGCCTTTGTCCTGAGTTGACCTGAGGCTTTTTGGAAAATCTGATGTCAGCATGGCCTTTAAAAAAAGCAGTTGGGTTCAGTAGGAACACCTCCCACCCTCCAGTGCTATTTTTAGTTAATTTATTTATATTTGGGTCTCCTAATGACTGCGCAGGTGCAAGCAGAACAGATGGCATTTAACTACTCTTTCTGAGAACAGGTGACAGCAATTGTGCCAGTGCATCGGTATTTACATGGAATGTATCACAACTATAAGTGACTATATTTAGTCTTCTTGTGACAGCAGATTTAAAAGGGCACATTTTGTTGTGGTTTACAGCTAGGCTGCAGTATCTGCACTTTTCAGCTCAACTCATCTGATTTAAGAAAATCCCTAATTAGTTGCCCTTTAGGACTGGATTTGTTGGGAGAGAAGGTCCCCGACCCCATCCCGGTGGGACCCTGCTACCCACAGGGGAAAATTCTCATAAGAAAATGTGTGTATTTTGTATACAGGAATGAAAGCATAGAAACCCTGACCGCGGTTGCCAGGAAATTGCCGCAGTACTACATGTAATCACTGGGGACCTGAAAGCTGGGTAATGGCAGACTACAGTGAATTCAACAACAACAATTACCTGCCGGGGGTTTACAATGGTAAGTCAAGGGTGTATAGTCGAGAGATCTGTTACAGTTGAGAATTGTGTTACAGTAAAAAAATGTGTTAAGTCAATTGTGTGTTATAGTCAATCGTGTGTAATAGTTGAGAGATGTGTTACAGTTGAGAATTGTGCTACAATCAAGAAATGTGTTACAGTTGAGAGTGTGTTGCAATAAAAAAAATGTGTTGAGTCAAGAATGTGTTATAGTCGAGAAATGTGTTACAGTTAAGACTTGTGTTACAATGAAGAAATGTGTTACAGTTGAGTGTGTTAAGGTCAAAAGTTATGTTGCTGTTCTGAAAGTTTAACAGTCGAACAATGTTTTAGTTGACAAACCCGTTATAGCTGATAAATACTTGATGCAACAGCTGATTTAGGCTCTTCAGTAGAACAATCTGTACTGCAGTGGATTCCAGGTCACTGTGGCTTGGAAGGCAATGAAATAGTGGACAGATTGGCCAGAAGCAGCAGTGACATGGTACAACCAAATAGCGACTTAACCCACCAAGAGATGAAAACATTAATACAATCTAGTATCCAAGAAAGGTGGCTGGATACCCACACCAGATTTTCTTCCCAAGACTCACTTCATCGCCTTTCTAGAGAGGGACAGTGCATTATATTCAGACTAAGGACTGGGCACAACAGATTTCGTCAACATATGTTCAAAATTTTCGGTGTAGGAAATACGGAGACGTGTCCCTGCAGCGTAGCACCCGAAAATGCTGAGCATGTGCTCCAACACTGTCAACTGTATGCTGACAACAGAGACGCAATCTGGCCTGTTCCAACCACACTGAAGACAAAACTGTACGGTACACGAGAGGATATGGATTGCACGATAGCTTTCATAAAGGCTACCGGCCTCCTGATATAAGTTTTCTGACAGAAGGATCGAAGAAGAACAAGAAGCTGAGAAATGTGTTACAGTCCAGTAATCTGTTACAGTTAAGAGATCTGTTAAACTGGACAGACACACAGTACGAGGGCTGGTCATTTAGTTCAAGGACCAAATTACGTAAACCAGTGTTTCCCAAACTTTACTTGGCACAGCGCCTTTCTTCAATGAACATTTGTCCATGGCGCCCTAACCTAAGTAAAGGTATGACTATTCATGTCTTGGTTACATTAATTATGAAGCTTTTACAATATTTCGCTGCGCCCCTGTGAAGAGGTCGCTGCTCCCCAGGACACCGCGGCGCACAGTTTGGGAATCACTGGCGTAAACAGTAAATTGGTAGATCTGCTGGTTCTTGATTTTTTTTTTCTTTCGTCTTACTGCTTATTCTATAAAGCGCCACAGAGAGGAGTTAGATATCGTTTTTTGTCATTAGTCTGTTCCATAGCTTGTGGTAATGTCATATTATGTTTCTGTAGTGTCTCTTTCACTTCCTCCACCCATGTCTTTCTTGGTCTGCCTCTTGGCTTGTAGGCTGCTGTTCTTATGTAGTATGATCAAGCTGCTGGCTGTTTTTTATTTTTCTCCCCATTCTCATCAGATAACCAATTTGATTCTTTGATTTTCTTAGAAATTTGTTATCTACAGTGTGCTTAACATTGTTCTTCGTTCTTCATATGTGACTCTTGTCTCTTCTTGTTTTTTCCCGCCACACTTATTATGCATCTCATCTCACGTTTTGTCATTTCACATTTATCTATTCATAGAACTATGTCTGGCATGATCTGACGGTTACTGGAGTTATATTCCTTTAAATTAGTGCACTTTGGAAGTTGTGTGCACTTATTTCAATGTTTGTGTCAGAAGCACGACTGATCGATCAGTATGTCCCCTCTGGGCTGTTTCCTAAAGGTTTTTGTCTCAGAGCTGCTAACTGCCTTATAGACACTGGCTTGCACACAGCTCTTATTATAGAATGTCTGTCTTCACACAACAACCTATACAGTGCCAGAGTGTACACAAGGGCCTTTAATGTAATGGAGGAAAAAGGAACAAGTAATTTACACCAGAAGCTTCTCAGTTTATCATACCATGGCACAAACTGCCGGAGAGCTTTAAAATCGCCAGCTACCTATTGGCATTATGGTTGCTTCAGGGCATTACTCGATCTGAACCTTGACTTATGATTCATATCTTTACCAAGACCCCCTAGTGTAGACCTCAGCCTCTGTGCCTCATTTACTCTCTCAGTGGCATATAGACCCTCACCCAAGTCTTTGCCAACTCTGGGTAGTCTAAATCATAATGCACAGTTAAAGTTTTATACAGCTGGAGTTTCTGAAAGAACAAAATCCTAATAAAAACAAGTATTTTACACAGGTAACTAATGAATTTATCTGGCTCAGAAACTTGGAGCACAGCCAAAAGAGATGAAGCCTTATTACAGGTTTTCGAAAATAGGGTCTTACGGCGAAACTTTGGACCCATCAAAGATGTGAAAACAGCGGGGAATGGAGAGTGATAAGCAACAATAAAATTCATAATCTGTTTAAATCACCATTGATTACTGGCATCATGAGAGCTAATAGACTGAAATTGTTAGGGCATATTGAAAGAATGACAGATAAGTAAAAACTTTATACAGAAGGGAGATGAATGGTTGTAGACCACGAGGCAGACCCAGAAGACGATGGAGAGATAATTTCCAGAGTGAACTGCAAATTCTTGGTGTTACCAACTGGAAAGAGAAGGCCAGTCAGAGAGATGAATGGTTGCGGGTGATATCTGCAGCAATGATCTTCAAGGGCTCGGAATGCTGAAGAAAAACTAATGAATTGTTAAAAAAAAAATTTAGTTTTATAGTCTATGTGTGTGTTTCCTTGTATGTAAAGCTGTATAAAGGGAGTAGTCAATAAACAAGAGTAGAGTGACACATTCAGTGGAATGCCTTCCATGGGGCCTGAACAAACATGAATCAGCTGAGTCCTGTCAGGACCTCTTCTAGTTTGGAGGCGCATAACAAAATTGCAAGTCAAACACCCCCCCCTCCCCCTCCCAAGCTTTAGGATTCCAAAGGAAACCCTTCCAAATGCTATACTTAGTTAATCACATCTGGGTCTTCTACACAGTATGCAGGAGCACACAGAATCATTGGCTTTTAATACACTGTTCTAGAACACGTCACTGCTGTAGTTGAGTTAAGAAATGACATCACAGCACTTGGGGGTGTTCCCATGCACGCTCCGTCCTCATCTTCAGCAGCCAGCCAGGGTTCCAAAATGATGGTACTGGTCACAATCTGGTTATATGTCCGTCTTGCCTTTCCTCTGAGTGTAGTGAGCCGGCCGGACCCTCTGGTTACACACAGATGCCTTATTCTTTCCAGGCCATAATAATCTTCTATCTCTACTGATTCTGTTGCTTGTTCCCAAAGGGCCTTTACCACATCTACCTTGTCATGTATCACTTCACCACCCAGTGGTGCAGATCCAGCCAATTGGCTGCAATCATGATGTATCAGCCTTTACACAGCAATGTCGCAATCGAAAGTGACTAGTTTTAGCCTTTTCTGGCTGATAAGTTGAAAAAAAAAAACTTACGCTGGGTGCATTTAATTCGCAGTGCATTACCTGGTACCATTTTAGCCTGGGTCAACTGGGAGCCCAGTTCCGTAAAAAAAAAAAAATGTGCGTCAAAAAGGATTTTAACAAAGAACAATATATATCCATAACCTGCTAACAAGATATTAAATCTAAGATCTTCTGTTTCAGACATGGAAGCTGCAGCGGCATTCAATTATCACTCTGCCCTGGCACACACCCGCAGCCCTGGGGTCGTACAGAACGGCTTCACTTTCACAAGCCCCACTCAGTGTAGCACCATGGCCACTTACAGACCAGGCATACAGGTATTTTTGATTTTAATGGGGTTTTTCCTGCAAATTATTTTTGACTTGCTAGTACCCCATGACGGTTCCGGGGACCCATTGTAAGGGGGAAAAGAACAGACTCACCCCTGCACAGATAACATAGCCTATCTGTAAATCACAGCAGTATGCTGAGCGCTTTTTAAAACGCAAGCACAGAGGAAGATTATTCCATTGTGCAGATTATAACATGTAAGTGACAAGATTACAGGAGGCTATTGTGTAGTTTACATTAAGCAACTGACTAAATTACATGGGTTATTGTGTAGTTTACATTAAGCAAATGACTAAATTACATTGGGTTATTGTGTAGTTTACATAAGGCAAATGACTAAATTACATGGGGTTATTGTGTAGTTTACAAAAGGCAAGTAATTAAATTACATGGGGTTTTTGTGTAGTTTACAAAAGGCAAGTAATTAAATTACATGGGGTTATTGTGTAGTTTACAAAAGGCAAGTAATTAAATTACATGGGGTTATTGTATAGTTTACTAATATTAAGCAAGTAATTAAATTCCATGGGGGTTGTTGTGTAGGCTACATTGGGCAAATGTCTAAATTATGTGTGCTATTGTGTAAATTAAGCTTCTATATTACACAGGGCTGTTTTGTAAATTATTACGGGCAGATGACTAAATAATATAGGGCCACTGTAAATAAATTTGTTTTGTGACTGATTACAAAGGGCTGGTGTTTAGATAAACTGTGGCCTGCATAGGGATAATGTGGAGACATTGTTGACATCGCTTATTTGTTACTGGAACCCTCAGCTAAAGCAAAGAATCGTGAGGCTGCGCCCTGGTAGGCATGCTCAAAAAGGCGACTGAGGGTAGGGTTGGGCCTGAGGTTGGCTATCTCATCATGTAAAACTCAGCAACCACAAAAACCAGGAGGGAGTTGCCGTAGCTTAGCGGCTAGACGCTCGCATGTAGAATGGAAGGTCATGGGTTCGCTCCCTGGCGGAGCCAGACTTTGTTTCAAAAATGACCTTGACTCCCAGGTCGACCCAACCTTGAGTGGGTAACGGGTGCAGTCCCGGGAAATGAAGGCGGCCGCCTGATGCTGACCACATCACCCATCTGGTGCACTCGGTCTATAAAAATATAGGTCAAGTCCTATACGCCTTAAGGCGTGGAAAAGGATCCTTTACTTACCTTTTTACAAAAACCAGCCAACCATGGAAAAGATAAAGAGAAATGGGTAACATCCAGCCAGCCAGAAGGAGGATTTTCTATGTGCCTCCTTTTACCCAGGAAAATCTCCAGAATTGGCACGTGGAATATTAGAGCATAGTCGCTGACAGAAGCATAGAAATAAAGGCGGACCAAAAGAAAACTCGCGAAGAAGGGAACTAGAGAATGAAGTTACAAAGATATGGAGGACATGGGGTGGGCTGCATGCAATGGCAAAGCATAGGACGACTTGGCTTGAGTTGGTTAAGGAACTATGCTTCATCGGGGGATAAAGGGTGGGAGAAGAAGAAAGAAGTGTTAACAGAAAAGGGTGCCAATTTTTATGTTGCATGGAGCTGCTGTGTACTTAACCACTATCCCATTTATGTTAACAATTGTTTCCTCCACATGAAGACAACCAGTCCAATCAGAAGCTTGAGTGCTCCCGGTGTTGGGGCAGCATGGCAACATTCTATCCCAGTCACAATGCCCTGGGCAGATATCAAGTCACCAATCTCTCATCTGGGCGTCGGATCCACCGCCGTGTTTACAGGCACCCCTGCTTCGCCGTAGTAAGTATTGTCCACCTTTTTTTTTTTAATTTAAAAAAAAAAGAATTATTTGTCATTTAATTACATAATTTCTCCTTGCGGGTTCGGGAGCCCCATTGTGGGGAAAACAAGAATAGACCTACTGCATCCCCAACAAGCGTGTCATAGGAGTCAACTAATTGAGGACTTCCATCGAAGTCGGAGTGCATCTACCCGGGCGGCAAGGAACCACCAACTACACTCAAAAAAAGCCAGTTAAACAGAGTTACATGCAAAACTCAGACCCTGGCACTAGGCACAAATGAACGAACAACCAGGACTTTTCGTTTCGCCAAAGCTTACAGCCAAAGAGTAAAGAAGAAGAAGAGTAAAATTATTTAAAGGATTAAAAGTTGGCAACACTTGGCACCTTTCTTTAGACTGAAAGATTAAGAACTACCTAGAAGCTCAAGCACTGGCAGAATTTTACAAAATGAAGAATTATTCATGTAATCTTTCCTTGTCAGTTTAAGTGAGAATTCTTAAAAGCTGTATAAATCCTATCTTGATATATGAAAGTGAATCATGGACAGTTGGTAGATTAGTGAAAAATTTAGGGTTCCAGCCCTCCCATTTCAGGGAGAACAAAAAGCAGGCCCACCGTCCAGCTCCTCCCAACATGTATGTCTTTAAAAAAAATGTGCTGCTATAACGGCCTGTAATCACCACTTTTATGGTGTAGGCAACGATAAATGTCTTTAAGCCTGAGGTTTTAGGTCGCATATCCAGTGCTGTCACCAAGCGCTGTGCAGGTTAGGATTTTATTGTTGCCTCAGACAGAAAAAAAGAAAAATCCCCAGCCTTATCTAGAGTTCGAACCCTGGTCTCTCATTTGAGATACCCACGTTCTTATCCATTCAGCAGCATGTTACAAAAAATGCAGATTTAGGGGTATGCTGACATCAGGTGTGTTAGGCAGAAAGGAAGATATCACAGCCTGGCTGTACACCACACCACAGCTTGCTAACTGCCCTTTAAATTATGAATACAGACCAGAAACAGTTTTCTCTGAGTGAGAACAAAAATTTTTTTATTTTTTTATTTACAGACTTAGAGCAGTTATTTTATAATGGTCATTCATTTGTAGGGATACATGTTATTACATTTGTATACTTTAAGTGTTGAAAAATCATAGTTGTCATGGCAATAGGCGCCATTTTGTGGAGAAAAAAAAACAATACTAAAATTTTAAACACAAAAATAGGTATTCAACAACAGATAACGCATCCATAATCTTTTATCCTATTTAGAGGTACAGGTCTAGTTTATTTACTTTAAACATGTTTTTAAATATTTTTCGTAGAATTTTAAAATGTAGGTTTATTGAAAAATTTAAAAAAATCTAGCATCATAAGAAAATAATCAAATTTTAGAAATAAAATCTTTCTAAAATCTACTTTTAGATAAACCAGTCCCTATAATATTGTTTATGGAGTATGCAAACAAAATTTCATGTTTCTACTCTTTATATTAGCTTAGATTTTAGGATTTCACACTGAGAAAACTGACTTTTAAACTTTTTTTTTATCTTAAAAAAGTGCACGAGGTGGTGTCATTAGTATTAACTTTTCAATGCTAAATTGTTTACAAATGACATAGATTTTTTGTGTCATCTATTGTACGAATGCCGAACTTTACAAAAAAGAACACATTGAAAAAGTGATATTTTTGTCATAAATTGGGAAAAATGTCGTGTAGTGACCCCTTATGGACAAGCCAGTATTAGCTCCATCTCCCTCTGCAACAGATAGCAAAGAGTTGCCATACTGATGGTACCCATTGTAATCATCTGTGTACAACTTCTTGGCTGTCTGGCATTGGTTGCTGTGTTTGCCCACAGCCTTTCATCTCTTGCACTGCCAGTCAGTCCTGGTATAGATGTTCACCCATGTTATGATGCCAACTGCCAAGTGCACTCCCCTGAGGGTTCCCTGATCTCATGTTGGAGGGTAGAGGGAGGACACCAATAAACCCACTGCCCCCCCCCCCTCCCCCCCAACAGGCATGTCGTAGAAGTCCACCAATTAGGGGTGCTTCCTTTGAAGTTTGAATGCATCTTCCGCAGAGTGAAGAATCAGCAGACTGCACATGAAGAAGCCAGCCAGAATTGAAAAAAAAAATGGATGTGTGCACAAACCTCAAGTTCTGGAACAAAACCAAAGTCGAGATGTGGGTGAACAACCAGAACTTTCTGTCGGAGTTTACAACCGGTGAATGCTAAGAAAAAGAGTAGTCAAACACGTCTTTATTTCCCCCTGCTTACCCCCCCCCCCCCCCCCCCCCCTCTTCTGAGCTTCCTATTGTCTACCTTTTATCTTCAGGGGCAGACACAGAGTTCCATTTTGCGTCCACTTCGCCTTTCCTCTGAGTTGCGTATCAGCCAGATATCCTGTTCACTCCTGTTGATCTGTTTGTGCTGTTGCACTTTTTCTCGTTCCCACTTGACCCCCCCTTTTTTTTTTTAACCTGCCCAAATCCCTATGTGGCTTCCAGTTTCATGTGGGGGGGGGGGGGGGGGGATAGACCTACTTCCCCCATTCCCAACAAGAAGCATGTAGTAAAAGTAAACTAATTAGGGGTGTTTCCTTGGAGGATGGAGTGCATTTGTTCTGGAACAAGACTAATGTCCAGAAGCAGATGAACAACCAAAACTTTCAGCAGGAGATTATAGCCGATAGACACCAAGAAGAAGTTCCCAAAGATTAAGGATTGTTCTCTTCCGGGTAACATGTTATCTTCATGAATTGACATGTTTGGTGCCTTGAACAAATTCTCGTGGTTAGTTCATATGTGCATGAATTTCTGTGTTTGCAGGAATGTCACTTATGTTTATTCTTCTGTTCCATCCATAGCTTTGATGGGCAGCTATCATGCAGTTCTCCTCTCAGACGACCAAAGCGAAAAGCTCTAGACATGCCGGATGAGTAAGTAATTCCGTGTGGTGTTTTTTTTTTTTTTTTTCATCAATTTGTGTCAAAATAATTTTTAATTCCCATATCATCTGTTGTTGTGTCTGAAGTCTGCACCGAGGACATTGATTTTTTAAAATTTAGCTGGAATCCCAGGTTGACACACACTAAAATGCATGTGTGAAAATATCTTGGGCATAAAGGCTGCTGGTATAATCTAACCTAGTGTTTCCCAAACTTTTCTTAGTCGAGGCGCCTTTTTTCAATTAAAATTGTTCCACAACGCCTTAACCTAAGTAAAGGTATGACAATTTGTATGTAAGAGTTGAAAAAAAAATTGTGTGTCTATTTCGTGGTGCCCCTGTGAAAAGGTCACGGCTCCCCAGGCGCCGCGGCGCACAGTTTTGGAATCACTGATCTAACCACATCAAATATTAGTTGCCAATTTTGGGAGTATTCGTGGTGACGTGGTCAAGCCGTTTGCCTCGCGATGTGAAGGTAGTGGGTTCGTTTCATGGCTGTATCATTCAGTTCATGTGTGCAATTTTTAAGGAGATCCCTTGGGTTCGTGGTCCTGTGGAGTGTGTGCCATGTGCAGCGCTCTCTGTAAGCGGCTAGCCATTCTGCAGAGGCCGAGCCATATGGGGTGAAACCCTGTGCAAGGAAGTCGATCCTCGCCACTTTAACCTTTAGCCTAGTTGCCACTGCTGTTTAAAAAATATGGATTTAGCACCATTTACCCAATACACATCAAGGTGGGGAAAAAATGTCTTTTGTTGTTGTTGGATATCAGCCTGAAATGATAGATAGGGTGTCCCCTAAGTTTCTGTGCATTTAGGGAAAAAAATATGTTTTAATTGAAACCTATTGTTATTTATTTAATATGTTCTACATGACTACCGTTGTTTTGAGTCAAGTCAAGAATTGACATCACAGCACTTGGGGGCATTCCCATGTGTGCTCCTTCCTCATCTTCAGCAGCCAGCGCAGAGTTTCAATACTGATGGTACCAGTCACAATCTGGTTATATGTCCGTCTTGCCTTTCCTTTGAGTCTAGTGAGCCGGCCGGACCCTCTGGTTACACCCAAGTGCCCCATTCTCTCCAGGTCATAATAATCTTCTTCTCTACTGATTCCGTTGTTTGTTCCCAAAGGGCCTTGACCACATCTGCCTTGTCATGTATCAATTCACCACCCAGTGGTGCAGATCCAGTGGTGCTTGTGCTAAAGAACCCACAGAAGCATAGCTGGAATTATGCTGTAAATTGCGTCTGTGATGTGTTTATGTTTCCTATGTATGGAAACTTACGGGACAGCTTGTACATGTCAGTGTTATTTCATGCATAAATGCAACCATTAATTGAACCCTTTTGTCCCCAAAAAGCCAAATCTAGTCACTTCTAGTTGTGAGACGGCCCTGCACATGCTTATATATGGCTAATTCGGCAGTGATCTATTCTCGAAGCTTAGTTAAATGCTATTGGTTCTTTTTGCATCTGTGTTGAGTTTAGGAGGCTTGAATGTGAATATGGGAACTAACAATAGAATTTAAGGAGTTTTCTTTATGACCCCAGTTGTTTATTTTAGATTTTCCTTTAAGCCTCAGTGATAGATGTGGTTGAAACATTTATCTGTTTGTCAGTGAATTTGATGATGGCCTTTGTTCTACTAAAGTCTTTGATTCTGATATGATCTCTTTAGGATTTGTTCAGTCTTTCTCAAACACTTCAGAGGTGGGAAGTTTTCTCTGGTGTTGTTGAGTAAGGATAGATCTCCTAATTAATGGTAAAATAATTTCAAGGCCGCACAATTTGAAAAATGTACTTATTTGTTATTTCATATCTTCTTCCTGTTTACCGGCTGTAAATTCTGGCAGAAAGTTATGATTGTTTATCCACCTCTAGACTTTGGTCTTGTTCCAGAACTTGGAACAGTTTGACAGTTTTTGGTTTTTTGAATGCAGATTTTTGTTTTTTTTGGCCTCTTAGGCAGATGCACTTCAAAGGAAACTCCCAAATAGTCGACTCACATGCATACAACATGCTTGATGGGGAGGCAGTGGGTCCATTCTTGCTTTCCTCACAATGGGGCTCCAGAACCCACATGGGGAATTATGACACATCATTTCAGAGTTCCAGCTTTAAACATTTACTTGTGTGCTTCCAGTCTCAAAGATATACTTATGTTGCTATTTTACACTGTTTCAGAGCTCCAACATCAAAGATATACTTATGTTGCTATTTTACACTGTTTCAGAGCTCCAACATCAAAGATATACCTGTGTGCTGATCAGTTTGCCAACCTGAAGATCAGTCCTAGCGAGAAAGAGAACTATGGTTTGCCGGCTGATGATGGTGGACATACAAGTGTTCAGTTTTATTCTGGTGCCAACATCTTAAAGTCTAAGGGTGACATCGAGGGCTGGCAACGGTTTAGAGATGTTGAGAACAGGTAAAACTCCTAAGCTCAGTTTTTTTTCTCAATGCAAACATAGCTTTTTTGTTCTCAAAAGCAACCTGAGTTACTTATTATAAATGTAGACCAGTTTATGTTGATTTCCACAAGGGTATGGAGCGCCGCTGAATGTAAATTGCCTAGTAAAAAAAAACTACATACAGTTTAAAATAATTACTGGATCTGCAGCATCTTTTATAAAGAATACACTTCAACTTAAATGTAAATGTAAAGCATGTTTTTTACGTGTCAGAATATGACGATTTTCCTGTTGTGATAGTAGTGTAAGCTGTTGGTTAAGTAAACCAGTTTACTTGTGGTGTGAAAATAGTATTATGTAGAGGCAATGTAGTTAACATTCTGTTTAAAAGTGATAGAGATTGTTATGTAACAGTAATTGAAATAACTTGTTATGTGAAAGTGATAAAAATATATAAAAATAATCTGTTAAATAAAAAAGTTTACTTTTTACATGAAAGGTATACAGTTTTACGTGTTATATATATGTTATACGGTTCACCTGCTATGTAAAATTAATTTAAGTTATGTTTTGTAAGAGGAGTGGCTGGCCGAACGGTTTGGCTCTCAGGCAGGGGACCCGGGTTCAAATCCTCAAGAAGGCTGGGGGGTTTTTGTGTGTGGAGGGCAAAATAAAATCCTCACCTTACAGTCGTGGAGACAGCACTAGCCAAGCGGCCTTAAATCCTCGGACTCAAAAGACCCTCCCAGCCTACACCGCAAAAGTAGTATTAAAAAAGGCAGTAATTGGCAGTATCTGTTTTGTAAAAGTAACCTGCAGTATAAAGGTAATTTAATCTATTTGTTATGGTTAATTAATACATAACTACCTGTTATATAACTCTAGTGCAAGCATTTGTAAATGTAATACAAACTATCTGTTGTACAAATATAGTGTATAAACAGTTGTATAAATATAATACAAAGATTTATATAAAGTAATACAAACTGCCTGTTATATAAATGTAATACAAACTCATCATTGTCCTTTGTGTGCCGTTAGATGTCACTTAGGGCTCGCATTGGATTACTCCACTCTGTTTTATTGCATGTGCAACTCTGTCATACAAACTATATGGTATATAAACGTATAGAAACTACCTATTATGTAAAGATAACAAATTGTATGAATGTTACCCATTACAAAATGTAATACAAACCACATGTTTAGTGAAGGTGGACAGGTCAAAGAATAAGAATCAGACATAACCTTGCTTTCTTGCAGGAGACTGGGGCGAATGAGAGCAGGTCTAAAGAAAAAAATGCATGTTGAAATTCATCTGAGTAGATTCGATGTCACTGCATTCATGACAAGGCCATGTTGGCTCCGTTTCCCCACCTCAACAGCCAATCATAATGTTAACTACTCGTTTTTCGTTTCCCCCTGATTCTTGAGTGGCGCCCAGAACCTGTTGATACTCCTCACTGCATCGTTCTCTCCAGGCACATGTGTTCAGTATTAATTGTTGACCCGTCCCACAGGTGAGAGATCACCTCTGCCTTGTACATTTGCAGTACACCCCCCCCCCCCATCGGGGATAGTCCAGTCAACCTATCTGCCAGCTCGTTCCCTAACATGCCAACATGGCCAGGGCAGAATATCCAATTGATTTTCAATTCTATCTGGCTGAACATGCTCTGCAAATCAGATACCATTTTGTCCATCCACTGGAATGCTGCAATTACCGCCTCAGCCTCCATTCTGATGCTGGATATATGGTATTGTTGTATGCCATACTCTTCTTAGTTTGAAAATAAATGTACTGAGTCAGAGGCTTGATAAAACAGTGTAGTTTAACTCTGTGATGGCTTTGTCCCCCAAGGTGGTGATCTGTCCCTCACACTATTTCTAGTCTGTATCAACAAACTAGTTTATGAACTATCCCACGGAATGAAAGATTCACTGTATGCTGATGACTTGGTACTGTGGTGCAGAAATGAGTATGCAACAGTGGGCACCGGACTGCTACTAAGAGCCAAAGATGAAATGGCTGCATGGGTAGAAGTGCAAGAGCTGATCTGGTACCTGTATTTTGGCAAAGACTTAAAATCAATTTTGATATTTTAAAACTGTGTTCACTAAGGTTGGATGTGGAGGTGGATGAAGATATCCAGCTGCATACAGCCAATACAAGCTCCAAAGATGGCCCTTGCTTGAAAGTAGCAGAAGGAATTCTCAACTCTGTAACCAGTTCCCCAATATTACCTCACAAAATTGTGGAAGACATGTAAGTTGAAATATTTTCCTGCTCTTTTACCTCCCACAGAGCATAGGCCCTCATTCATCTTGTGCCAGTCATCCTATGTTTTGCTATTGCATGCTGCTCACTCCATATCCTCCTATTTTTACCTCATTCTCCAATTATCCTGATGTTTTTTTAATGACATTTCATATGAAGCATATTCATTCCCACCCTATGCAATCAGTACCAGACATGGTCAGTCACAACAAAACAGGAAAGAAAATTAGTAACTGGAAATAAGGTTTCAGAGAAAGACTGTAGGAGTGACCAGAAGAGATCAAATCAGGAATGAGTTCATACGAGATAAAGTCGGCACTGAACACATTCTTAATTTACATATAAAGACAGCAAATCAAATGGTTTGCCAACTTGGAGAGAATGCCTTCTGATGCTATGCTATACAAGGCATATACCAAAAGAGGAGAAGAACATAAATCAAGAGGTGGACTAAGAAAAAGATGGGAAGATAACATCTGAGAAACTTTACAGCACCACGATGTGTCTGTTGTCGAAGCAGCCAGAATGGCACGAAGAAGGACCTTATATCTCCCTCGACACCAAAAGCATTAAAAGAGGACGTGACCAAGAAGAAGAAGATGACTGGTTCAGTTCTGGTACTTTGCCTTTTTCTTCATTGTTGATTTGATTCTTAAAAATTCCTGCTCTGGTCTATTACTACATAAGTCCACTCTACCTCATTTGGTAATAACAATCTTTCTCCCCTGAAAGTTATCATTTTAACTCTTTTTCATTCATGCCTATAGACAAAATATAATTGTTGTTTACCTCTTGGTAAGCACTTTATCATTATTAATGCATGCATAGTACTTCAGATGAACATACAAGTATACTGAAATGGAAACAGAATTGATCAGCTGATTTTTCTGTTTCCTAAAAAAAAAAAATGCGGTGGCTAAAGAGCCTTCGTCTACATAAAATCTACAAAAAACATAATAGCCTAGTTTAAACCTGAAATAAAAACCATCAGCATGGAAAATCTACCCTCCACCTCCCCATTTTACACAGGCCACTGACACATTTCTAGAAATGTTATTTATCTATCTTACATTTTTTCTTCAAATTTTACCAAAAGAGGTATGAACGACGGATCAACATCATGGCACACGGGCAGTAATCCATAAGTGCTCCATTTTTTTTGCTAACACAATACTGCTAAGGGATATTTAACGTGTGCAACAATGCACGAACATAACAATGCACGAACGTCCGATCTCACTACCCACAAATCGGGGGAATTACTAGGTCCATGTCCACGTGAAAAAATCCCAGTCCTTACTGGAGATTGAAGCCGGAACCTCTAGCACTCAAGGCGGACACCATGTGTTGGTTAAGTCGACATGATCAGCTTAGTCCCAGCAATTTTCTCTATTGCGTGTGCTGTCTTGATAAGTGGAAATCTTGATTAGTGGAAGCATTTTCTTAGGTCCCTGCGACTTCTACTTATCCAGACTCGACTGTAAAGTCAAGGATTGAACATAAAACATTTCCCAGGGCTTAAAAATATTGCATTTTGAGTGACTCTTACCTCTGGAATTTTAATCGTAGGGCTGTGGGCAAATAATAATGCCAGAATGGTTTTTGAAAAGCCACTTTATTCACTTGAATAGACTTAATGTATAATTTTAAAAAGTGCACACTCAGGAGCAGACACAGGCAAATATTTATATATTATAAAATATGATGTTTTAGGGGTTTCATCCCTGCCTCGTCTGGACTTCATGTTACTCTGCCTTGGGCCTCAATATATTCTTACATGTGAACATGGTTTATCAGGATTTGTACATGTAGGATTCTTATCCTTATGCAATCCTGGATGGAAACAAACTGCAACACTTGAAGGTTTGTTGAAATCGAATGTGTTGAGCCAGGCGCAGATATCACAGGCTCGCTGTATACCACAACACAGTGTGACAACCCACTCTTTACAGGGTGAATACAGATAAGAAAAATACAGATGTAGTTAGTTTATTTCAAGCAAACGAAAGAAGAATTGAAGCCAACCTTCATTGTGGATACGGAACAGCATTTATTATATCTCAGCTTGAATAGTTGATAATTACAGCGAGTGATTGTTTGCATTAATCTGCTACCAATAAGTGTGTTTGTTATTGGTTTCTGTCCAGGGAATTGTGTAATGTTGGCCAATTGTTGTACACCATCCCCGTAGAGAGTCACTCGTCTCCTCGGTCAATCTTTTCATGGTGTGCTGTCCTTTTCTGACTACATCCAGCTTGATGTTAACTGATCTGTGCTGCTTTGTCGGTAAGGCCATATTCTTTTCCCGCCATGTCTTTATCTGGACGAAATATTTAGTTTTGTTTTCCTTCTTGGCTTGACTTGATTTAGAAACAAACATTTCATTCAACCAGCTTCTGCAAGATAAAGGTTAGCTCCTGTTCTTTCTTCTGTTTTTTTTAGGTGTATTAATGGAAGCATTAACACACAAAACAGGCCATCTTCCCCTGGTTATTCTCTCTTTCCCCCCTCCTCCCCCCCCCCCCCAAATTCCCCAGTGTTCCTCAAAGTATAGTCTTTGCAGTTGAATCATGTTTCACCACGTGTCCAAATCAAGCTAGCTTGTATGTTTCACCACTGCCAAGAGAGGCTCCTGATATCCTGCAGATGTTTATATCTTGTCTCTGACATATTTATTAGTTTTGTGTTCTAAATAACAAGTGTGTAAAATGCGTCTCTAGCATTTACATTCCTCCTTTCCATTTCCACATTGCGAGTCCAACTCTCACATCCGTATAAGAAAATAAATAATACCAGTGATTTGTGTATAATGACCTTAATTGCGATGCTGATTTTGCTCTTCCGCATTGTATTCAGCTGGGTCACTAGAAGATAAAAGATGTTTAAAGGCAAGGGGCAATATAAAATCACACACACATGTATAAACATGACGGGGCTGAATAGACATATACCATCTTTTCATCTCCTAATGGAGCATAGATCTGTAGACTTCTTCATGATTTGTTGAAGTTTTGCAGCTTAGTGAATAGAAAGGGTTCACAATCCTTGACGTGCAAGGCTTCAATTTCCACAGCTGACGGTTTGTTTAGAATTGAAGTCTAATGGCATTTGGGAAGTGGAGGCCTCAGGACATAACATTCCCGAAGACCAAAGTGGGTGCACTGCAGCAAGCATACGCTGTGAAAGCCACACCAAATAGATATTTGGCTTGAAAATTGTGTGTGTGTGTGTGTGGTAACGGCAGAAATTACTATTATTGGAACATAGCAACAGTTGACCAATCAGAAATCGATGCCTAACTGCTGAATGTAACATTGTCTAGTGAAATCACAACCCCCCCCCCCCCCCCCCCCCCCCCTCTCTCTCTCTCTCTCTCTCTTCTCTCTCTCTCTCTCTCTCTCTCTCTCTCTCTCTCTCTCTCTCTCTCTCTCTCTCTCTCTCTCTCTCTCTCTCTCTCTCTCTCTCTCTCTCTCTCTCTCTCTCTCTCTCTCTCTCTCTTCTGGGGTTGGTTCTGCAACTCCTGTATAAGATACACAACTAGCTTTTTTTTTTTTTTATACTACAGCTCTTCTTTGATCCTTCTGTCAGAAAACTTTTACAAGGAGGCTGGTAGCCTTTATGAAAGCTGTCGTGCAGTCCATATCCTCTTGTGTACCATACAGCGGTGTCTTCATTGTGATTGGAACAGGCCAGATTGCATCTCTGTTGTCAGCATACAGTTGACAGTGTTAGAGCACACGTCTCTATGTTTCCTGCACCGAAAAACTACAGCATTATGTGTGACACCGGCGATAAGACCAAAAATCAGTGTTGGTTAGATTTATTCTCGGTGAGGCCATTCATGTCATAAGAGTTTACTAATTAGGGGTGTTTCCTTTAAAGTCGGAGTGCATCTGCCTGGAGGGCAAGGAACAAAATAATCTGCATATAAATAAGCCTGTTTAAAAATATGCATTCAAAACATTCTGGTACAATACTAAAATCCAGAAGTGGATGAACGACCTGAATTTTCCTCCTGGAGTTTATGGCCGGTGAACATGAAGAAGCAGAAAACGGAAAAACAAATATTTTTTATGGTTGAAAAGGAAAGAATTGTCAGTTAACAACATAGATTTGTGGCTTCCACCATAATAACCATATATTCATTGTTTCTCTCCAGGACAAAGCCCTGCATGCAGATAATTCTATGGAAATCACCGAGTGAAATCATGCGTGATGTTGCTAAAGAAGATTTGGAAACCACCCAGCCTAGCTCCTCTTCCTCAGCATCATCATCTACTTACACCACCACCCTAGCAACATCCACCTGCAAAGTCAAAGACACCAGTGCCATGGACATCACTGAGAGACGTCCACTAACACCCAAGGACAATATGGACATGGGTCAGGACACGCCAATGCTAGACCCACTTCCTTATTCCCCGTTCCAGTCGGTACCCTGTGTCGGCTCCGGCATCCCCCCAGTGACAGATTTTATTACATCACCGTTGTTGTCAGGTATGGCACTTCCACTTGGACACCCACAAGCTATGGGTGTTTCTCCGGCCAACATGCCACTTCCGGATTCAGACATGTTCGATGATGAAATGCAGTTGTGACACAGCAGAGGCACACGTGCTGTTATTCCAGGATAATTAGTGACTCCTTTCCCCTCCCACCAAACAGCTGAACTCTTGACTACAACCAAATACTTCTATTGCGGAACAGTGATGTATGTATTGTGGAGGAGAGTCCGTACACTTATCCGTAGAGCTGTGAGAACAACGCAGCTCACAATATTTGTGACTTGTTTTCTTCCGAGTAGATCATCATCAGGTTATAGGTTATTCCATATGTCATCATCATCAGGTTATTGGTTATTCCATATTTCATCATCATCAGGTGCCTTGCCGACTGGCGTTGGCGATCATGCCTCCACAATCTGCCATCTCCTGCAGCACACACCACCGCACCATGCAACAAGACTATCAAGAATCCTCTCTCGCCGTCCTCCTTCACCCCCCCCCCCCCCCCCACAGATTTCATATGTACTACCCTAAATACAATGAGCCTGAGGATTTATGGCCACATGCCACGAACTGTGCAGGATAAGCCTTTTTATTGTGCCCTCAAGGGAAAAAGTCTCCATCCCCTTATCCAGATTCTGAAATTTTGCCTGAGACCCCATCATTTGCTCCTCTCATAAGCTTGCCTGTGCCAGTGTTCATTTTAAACGTTATCTTCTTTGTACATCAGACGTGACAGTAAGTGTTCTTACCTCCCCTGAGTACATCTGCAAGTATTTTTAGGCCAAAAACCCCCTTTCAGTTCTGGTTGATGTAACGACGGGAGGCTCCCGCATGATTTTCCGGTCTCTTCCTTCGTTTGGGGTCATCAGCCATAACCAAGTGACGTTTGATGCTTACACAGGAGGATTTCAGCACAATGCACATAGCTCCGTAGCATTGGTGAGGAACCTGCAGACAGCAAAACCACAGAAAATCACTTCCTATTGGTTAAAAGTAAAACAGGAAACCAACAGAATCAATTTATTGTGGTAAAAGAAAGTGGCCATGCTGCTATCATGAGTGACGTCCAGTGTTTTCAGTATTAATTAATTCAGGCCCAGAGATTTATTACAGCAGAATTGCAATAAGCAAAATGATATCTGTATGAAACAGAATGACCATTGCATGACTTTCAACAAAAAATAATCAAACCAAACAAAAGGCAGAACTAGCAAGCTTCACATTATCGTAATCATAAAGGAATGTTGCAGCTAGAAAGCCTTCATCAGTACATGACATGAATTGACATTGTTACATTTACAAAGAGAATCATTTACGTTAAACTGAGGTCTGTCCAAGATAAACGTTCAGGGGGTCCTGTGTAAGCACTAGAGGGGGAAGCCAGATTTGTTTTAGTATGCTCTAGGGAAATGAAAAAAGAGAGCACAGTATGTGATTGTGGGAGGATCCAGTCACACATTATGTGATTGGGAGAGGATCCAGTCACACAATATGTGATTGTGGGAGGATCTAGTCACACAGTATGTGATTGTGGGAGGATCCAGTCACACAGTATGTGATTGTGGGAGGATCCAGTCACACAGTAGGAGGATCCAGTCATACAGTATGTGATTGGGAGAGAATCCAGTCATACAGTATGTGATTGTGAGAGGATCCAGTCACACAATATGTGATTGTGGGAGGATCCAGTCACACAATATGTGATTGGGAGAGGATCCAGTCACACAATATGTGATTGGGAGAGGATCCAGTCACACAATATGTGATTGGGAGAGGATCCAGTCACACAGTATGTGATTGTGGGAGGATCCAGTCACACAGTATGTGATTGTGGGAGGATCCAGTCACACAGTATGTGATTGTGGGAGGATCCAGTCACACAGTATTTGATTGGGGGAGGATCCAGTCACACAGTATGTTATTGGGGGAGGGTTCAATCACACAGTATGTGATTGGGAGAGGATCCAGTCATACAGTATGTGATTGTGGGAGGATCCAGTCACACAATATGTGATTGGGGGAGGATCCAGTCACACAATATGTGATTGGTGGAGGATCTAGTCACACATTATGTGATTGGGGGAGGATCCAGTCACACAGTAAGTGATTGGGAGAGGATCCAGTCACACAGTATGTGATTGTGAGAGGATCCAGTCACACAATATGTGATTGGGGGAGGATCCAGTCACACAGTATGTGATTGTGAGAGGATCCAGTCACACAGTATGTGATTGTGAGAGGATCCAGTCACACAATATGTGATTGTGAGAGGATCCAATCACACAATATGTGATTGTGAGAGGATCCAGTCACACAGTAAGTGATTGGGAGAGGATCCAGTCACAAAGTATGTGATTGTGGGAGGATCCAGTCACACATTATGTGATTGTGAGAGGATCCAGTCACACAGTATGTGATTGTGAGAGGATCCAGTCACACAATATGTGATTGGGGGAGGATCCAGTCAAACAGTATGTGATTATGGGAGGATCCAGTCACACAGTATGTGATTATGGGAGGATCCAGTCACACATCATGTGTTTTTGGCACTCAGTGAGTTAACCGACACCATTTCCTACCTTTTTGTTTAATTTGATGATTTGTTGTATTTATTGATCCAGTTTAATTTGCTGCTTGTTTGTGAGAATATTAATATCTTGTGTGTTGTTTCGTGTACAAGGTGTTTCAGAAACAGTGTTGGTTATTTAAAGCTGCTTCATTTTGTGTTTTATTGCTTGATTCTAGCATAGGAAAGAGGGAATTAAATGGTATGACAGAATCGCTGATGTAAAGTTATGGGAGAGAACTAAATAAATTCCAGTGAAACAAAAGGTGATAACATGAAATGGGAACTATATAGGCGCCCTTCAAAGGAGAATGATAGTAATAAAACTGTGCTGGGACCTACAAGGACTAGCAAATATCTTGAAAAAATGATAAGATGCAAGTGAAGGTTTGAATGAGTTTGTTGAGGGCTTCTGCTCCATTGGGGACAACAGGAAGAAGAAGAGTTACACACTGAAAAATTTTTGGTATACACCAAAGTAAAATCTGTTGATCGTCACAGTCTGAAAAGAATTGTGCAGCAAGTAGAGACCATAGAGACTTGGCCAGTGCTCAACCGTCAAGTCAGGGATGAGACGGACATACAGTCAAACAGTTGCTGATGCCACAGATATTTGAACTCTGCGCTTGCTGCTGACAGGGATGCTTCGATCAGAGTGGCAAGCTCCACTTGGAAGGTCACGGGGAGTGAGCATACTTTGGATCTTATCTCCAGGCGTGGTGGGGAATGAATAGGAAAACAGATTGGCTGGATCTGCACCAATAGGTGGTCAATTGATACATGACTTGGCAGATGTGGTCAAGGTCCTTTGGGGACAAGTAACAAAGTAGAAGAAAAACTGGATTATTATGACCTGAGGAGAATGATGCACCTGGGTGTGAGCAGAGGGTCTATCCGGCACACTACACTCAAAAGAAAAGGCAAGACGGTTATACAAACTACGACCGGCACCATTAGCATTAGAACTCAACGCTAGCTGCTGAAAATTAGGGCAGAACGCATATGGGAATGCCCCAGCTGCTTTGATGTCTTTTCTTGACTCAGCTCAACTTGCTGCAGAAGATGATGACACAACCTGAGTGCCTTGACGTCGATTAACTCTGATTTTGACTTCCCTTGATTCATTCGTCTTCATTTCAGTTTTTATTACATTAACTCATTTTAGACTATTTTTAACTCAAGTTCCTTATCCATCCTATGTTGTTAAACTGTTTACATACAAGTTAACCAGTCTGGACCAAAGAGAAAACAGTATTCTGATTGGTGCTGGCACACAGCACTTCCTTCTTCTGATTGGTGCTGGCACACAGCACTTCCTTCTTCTGATTGGTGCTGGCACACAGCACTTCCTTCTTCTGCCTCTATCAGTGAAGCATTGTTCTGCTGTGCTATTCAATGTTACCCAGAGCTCCCTGTCTATTTGTCCATTCTGTTCTATCTATTGTATTCACTTTGAGATCAAGGGTGGAATCTGTTCCAGCACCTTTGTCTTCTCACAAAGACATTTGTCTTAAGGTTCCTCTAGTACCACTTAGTACTACTGTACAATGTAATAAGTTTTTTCTTCTACGTGTAATTACAGGTAATCGCAGAAATTAGATAGAAAAAGAAAAAAATTAATTTTATGGTTTCTGAGGCGCTTAATATGGTTATTAAGGGTGGTTTCATGGTAATCGAGGTAGCTACTTTGGTTATAGAGGCTTCAAATACAATAATGAGGCTGCTAATTACAGTTACGGTTATTGAAGCTGCCAACACCATACGTCTAAAGATCATCTCAAACTTGTGAACTGGTCTCCCCGTGTAGGTTCTGGGGAACACAAGAGTAGACCACCTCCCCCCCCCCCCCCCCCCCCAAAGCATGTCTTAGAAGTCCAGCTAATTTTGAGCTTTCTTTGAAGTTGGAGTGTATCTGCCCGATCAGCAAGGAACAATCAACTGCACACAAATGAGTAAGTAAAACGAATGTACACGCAAAACTCAGGCCCTGGCACAAAACCAGAGAGTCTAAATGGATGAAGAGCCAGAACCTTCCACTGGAGCTTATAGCCAGTGAACAAAGAGGAAGATGATGAACTGGTTACCAGAGATATTTCGTGGAAGATAAGTTAGTAGGTCAGCCCGCCTTCTGGTGCCACGACCTAGTGTATGTGAATGACTACCACACCCCTATGACCGTATATGTGAATGACTGTCACACCCCTATGACCGTATATGTGAATAACTGCCACACCCCTATGACAGTATATGTGAATGACTGTCACACCCCTAAGACAGTATATGTGAATAACTGCCACACCCTTATGACAGTATATGTGAATGACTATCACACCCCTATGACAGTATATGTAAATGACTATCACACCCCTATGACAGTATATGTAAATGACTATCACACCCCTATGACCGTATATGTGAATGACTGTCACGCCCCTATGACCGTATATGTGAATAACTGCCACACCCCTATGACCGTATATGTGAATGACTGTCACGCCCCTATGACCGTATATGTGAATGACTG